ATATCTATGCAAGTTGTTCCATTACCCGTATAGCCTGTCTTACACTGGCAAGAGTATACTCCAAGTGAATTGACACAATCTGCATGAGAATTATCGTGAAAATTTGAGTATAAGAAAGTATCCTAATAACGTATAAAGTATACATGACGGAACAATTTTAATTTAATTAATCAAATAGTGTATTTATATTCACTAATAGATCCACACTAGTTATACTTGACGTATTGCTATTATTGTAATTTTCTTGATAATTGTTTAACATTATATTTAGTAGATATATTTGTAGAAATATTGTGATTGTTGTTAACGTGATGAAGGAAAGTATAAATGTAAAATTTCAGTAGACATTAGTTAGACTATTCTGAACAGACCCACACGATAAGTTATACCAGCGTCTTCGGAATGGCAACAGGTATGAACCCCCAACTGCTATGGGGACAATCTGTTAGATAGATTTCGCCGTCTCTACAGTGCAGGTTATCTAGCCATATAGGGCCAGTGCCGGAACCGTAAAGTATACTATGATTGGACGCTCATGAATTGAAATCTAATTGTCTACACTACATCGGCGTCAGTTATACTAAATGCATCGTCACATCCTGTGCCCCATATATATTATGATAGATTTCTATCCGTCCAGAGCTAACGGATTGACCACCGACAAGGCGTATTTCATCTGTACAAACTTTTTATCAATTATTAAACAGAATTTGAGTATTCAACGAGTTATCTCACTATAAATTACAGCTATTTTTCCTGTGAAAGTTTGATTAAGACGTGCAATACACAGATATGGACACTGTTATCATATTGATTATTTAGGATGGTATAATTTCAAACCTTTAATTGGCGAAGCTAGGGTTCTATCTACTTCTCTAATTAAAACGAGCATGAAGAACTACACATATATCAAGAATTACAAATAAACTTCTCAGCTGCTGAGTATCAATCAATACGATATTTGTGATGATACAGAGTGATCTATGACGTCAGTAATACTACGATTTCTTGTACTATTCTCAATAAGAGTATCAATTGAATCACAGCGACACTATATTTCGAATGTGATCATTTCGCACCGAATAGTATACGCTCACGTCAATATTATTCAATAAGTATGTATATTATCTACAGTAATGAATGAGAGCATAGCAGACAGTTATTAACTTGCTGCTGTATTTAGAAGTCGATTCACCTGGAATAAAGAAATAATCTTATATTATATGTAAGAATAGCAGTTTACTGAAACCTTAACTATGAATGCAAACAGAAATTTCTCAAATTTGCATTACTTTCTGAGTTATTAACTATTTACTGTAATTGCTCTATCAAAGTCGTGATGTACGATGTATTCTAGAGTTTAATGCGGTAAACATCATAAATACTATAATTCTGTCAATAGTAAAATGACAACGACTTTTTAGCTACGATACTTTGAGTGTACATACAAAATCGGTTAAATAAAGAATTTATAAGCTGGCTTTAAATAAGAAACTGTCTCCGTCGCCAAACTATATTTTTATACTTCGTAGTGTTGTAATAAATTGTTGTAGTTAATGTACTTGTCAGTGCTGGAAGCTTACTTGTGTTAAGTCAGGTCAGCTTACACATAATCTATTGTACAGTAACTACATCTAATCTTACACGATGCATGCAATATGTAATCAAAATTCTATTTAAAAGCTAGAATGCCTTGTGTTAAATATCTGATAGCTACTTAATCTTTTATCAATGCATCGAATCCTATATCACAATTGTAAAACTTATTTGTATGAAATAATGTGATAAAAGGTTTAATCAGGTATTATCGTGTTCTGAAAGGAACTACAATATATATGGTGTGTTTATATAGTCTAGATACACATAGAAGCAGCTACTACTATCACTGGCTTACTACAACGTCCTGGTAACGCAGCGATATCATCAATAGCCATGTCGCCTTTCGGACTGCTACCTTGAACTCCTACAAATCTAATCTAGAGATTCGTGGCGACAAATTATTGCGTAGTAGTTTATATAATATTATAAGATATGGTGAGTATTCTTTTACTAATTCAAAAATAGTGAGTAGAGAGCTATCATATTTCGCTGTACCTTATGGATACCAGAAGGGATATTTAATTGAACCAGATACCAAACGTCTCCACTATTGCCAGAAGTATTATATATTCTTTTAGAAAGATCATCAACAATGAGAGGACCAATTGTTATTCCATTCCGGTTATACCAAAAAGAGAGGCAAAAGACGCTATCTGAATAGATTACAGGACTTTCAATGATAAATTTAGTTCCTTTAGGCATATCGGATGCTTCCGTATGAATGTAATAGCCTATAGACAGAGAAATAGTCACTATAGCATTGTCTGTAAATGGTAAATGATTCGTTAATAATTGCCGTTTAATGCTAAAATTAGGTAGGAGATGCAGATATATCTCTTTGCTCTAATTTTTTGCAAGTATGCACACTCTAAATTAAATGAGACTATTGTAATTTCAATGTTTATGCAAAGTTAAATAGAAATTCAGAAGGCTTGACTACAGAGAAGGGGTTAGAGTAATTAACTTAATGTTAATGTACGAGTCTATGTCTTTGATCGAACTGCATGTACTGTATGTGTGTGTATAACCTGATATGTTTCCGTATGTATGATCGAAGCTTGGTCCAGTAAGCCAACTTGTGGTTTGGCCTCTACGCCTTGTCCACTGGAAGGTAGTTTCATTTGGATGTTTCCAGTTACAAAATCCAGACTCGAAAGTACAATTTAAACTATCGATACCGGCTGAAAATAATATAAAATTATAGTTCAAAGTAATTATTAGCAATTTAGTTATTGATAAGTTACTCTAGAAGATCGTAAAAATTGTATCTAGATATAGTCAGTATCTGTATTAAAATAAAATAGTCGAAAGCCTTATAAAAATTTATTGTAAGTATAACGATTAGACGCAATTATTTAGTACGTTCGTAGATCGTGATAATTGGAGATATACGTATAACAACGTAACTAGATTAAACATACCGTTACGACAAGTTACGCCTATATCTCCGGAATGATTACAGTTATGAACGTTCCAACCGTTATGTGGACAATCCCTTAGATAGGTTTCGTTACCTCTGCAGCGTAGACCACTTAACCATATACGACTGGTACTAGAGCCGTAGTAGTTACTATAATTCGATGCTCCTGAATTGAAACCTAACTGTCTACACGCTACGTTGGCGTCAGTCATGTCAAATGCATAACCACATACTGTACCCCATACATTATTATGATAGATTTTAATACGTCCAGAATTAAGAGATCGATCATCGACAAAACGTATTTCACCATCGAAAACTTGTATTGGTTTGTTAACATAAAAATTCGAGTATAAGAAAATCATTCTCATTGTAAAACTACGTATACCGCTATACTTTTAATTAATTAATCAGTAGGTAAAATATTGTATTTATGTAACATGTATATATATTAGAATACGATTGATTACTGTTTAACCATAACGTAGTAGTGAATACACATGTATTGTGATTGTTATTAACGTAATATTAATCTAGGAAAGTGTAAATGTAAAATTAAAGTAGATATTAACTAGATTGAACATACCAAAACGGCAAGTTACGCTAATATCTTTATCATGGCCACAGTTATGAACTCCCCAGCCGTTGTGGCGACATTCTTTTAGATACATTTCGTTACCTTTGCAGTGTAGATTACTTAGCCATATAGGACCGGTGCTGCTAGAGCCGTGGTAGTTACCATAATTGGCTGCTCCTAAATTGAAATCTAACTGTCTGCAAACTACATTGGCGTCAGCCTTTTCGAAATAATCGCTACATACAGTGCCCCACATATTATTATGATAGATTTCTAATCGTCCAGAATCAGCATATTGACCACCGACAAGGCGTATTGTACCTTCGCCAACTTGTAATCGATTAATGAAAAGAATTTGAGTATTAAACGAGTGTACTGCCGTTATACGACAAAAGGAAGCAAAGTCAATTTTTTCGAAAATTTGAGTTTATTAATTCTAATTACTTATTAGGGCGTAATCTAACGGCAGACTAAATTTGATACTGTTCCTAGTATTCTCTGCCTATTTTTTTACTCAATTGGTATGACCCATTAAAACGGAATTTCTACCATTATATCGTACGCTAAATTCTACAAAGTTACTATACATCGCTGAGATGGCTATATTATACTAAAATTGCATACGATTTTATTAAGACGATTCTAACTACTGTATGGCAGCATGCACTTTGCCATGGACTTCTAGATCGCCTGGACGAGACACGAGTTACCGTGAATTACAGTACTTAAATAAGCGATAGCATTAGATTTTATATAGCAATGAAGGTACTGTAGCATCTTCATCACTATAAAAGTGATGGCTTTAGAATTCTACTTTCTAGCAATTTACCATCGAAATATAATAATATTGCGATATATTGTTGAGATATTGACATATATATATATATTCTAACCTATAACGTATAATAAAATGTTCCGAATATTGTAGTAATTTGATAGTATAAAAAATTTAAGACATATCTATTAAGTGATGCTGACAGACGCAAATTACTACACATCGTCAAATTTCATGCAAACTATTTAGAAGTTCTTGTAAGAGTCCATGATATAACTAGCACTTTACACCCGTAACTATCTCCCTTAGTAAAGTGTGTTTGTACTGCTGTATTTATTGATATTCACGAAAAAATTTCGTTTTGCCAGAGTAATTCAAGCCAAATACTTATAGCGCTTATGTATCACAGGCCTAAAGTTCAAGCCCAGATATGCCTAGTTTATTGTTAGATAGTCTAGCCCTAAATACTGAACTGTATCCATAAATACTCTGCTTTGCTCTGTTTAGGCAAAGAGGGGGAGGGGAGGGATTAGTATTGTAGCCAAAGATGTAGCAAGAATGCTGTCTAGAGTTCTAAGATATTCCCACTGTTTGAAATCAACCGACTAATTACTATTTTCGTGCAATATGTACACTTACCAAATTCACAGAAATCACCATTGTATCCTTGCGGGCATTGGCACAGGTAATGAGAACTGTTTCCAATACATGTTGCATAACTTGAGCAAGGGTTGGAATTGCAAGTATTATTACTTGACGACAAAACTATATAAGATAAAAACTACGTAAAACGTCGGTCCATAATAGACGGTATTTTAAAATCTAAGACAGTTCTTTATAGGGTTTTTACAAATTAACTGATTGTCTATACAGATACGTTTAAATATACTGTAATATACAATACTCGTACAGTGTATTGCATATTAGTAGTTAAACTATGCTGTATGCCTGTTTACGACATGTTAACGACTGGATTAGAAACTCATAAGTAAAATCAACTATACTTTAGTATAAATTGCTGTCATTCACGGATAAGCTGAACACTGTAATTCTTACCTAATAGGACAAATTGTGATTCAGATATGATGAGCTGAATTAAAATTAAGAGTAAGTTAGAAACAAATCATTACGATTTTATCGATCAAATTGACTCCGAAAAAGAATAAAATACGGCAATTTGATATTTAACTTTAGCAAGTTTGCAATTAATTTGTTCATGAATTACGCGACACATAAATACAAATGAAAGCGTAAAAATTCTATGATTATCTCGCTAGAAATTCTTTTAGTTAGTTGAAATTAACCGGTAGGTAACGATTCACTACTTGTAAGTTCGTCATCTTTCTGTATAACATACATTAAGATTATTCGTCTGACTTGATTCTGGTTTAAAAATAGGCTATAAATTTACTAACGATAGCTACCGTACCGTATGTAAGTAACTATTCACACTCTTTTCATGCTTAGTCGTTAACATTGTATAAGAATTTTATATTGTAGTTAATACAGTAAAAGATTCAAGCGATATTTTATAAAATTACATAGTATTTGCTGTTAAAGAATTGCCATAGCTTTCACGATATTAATTTGATAATGGCTTAATGGCTTTATCAATCTCGTACGTGTATATGTACTAGTTGCTTAGATCATAGCACGTATAGTGTCTTTCATATTGTTTGTTCGATTCTAATAATCGATATCGTTTCTAATAAGAGTACAATCGTCTGGATAAATATTCTGTGAATGACTTACCAGCACAATGCTACAGAGAAGCCAAATATTTTTCCCCATTTCAATCTATATCATTCGGTTCGCTACATAAAGTAGATTGTTTTGGCTTTATCTCACGCAATCTTCCTAATTTCGAATTTTATATCTGTGATTTTAATCAGTATTGGTGAAAGGTTGTTTATTTATTAAGTTAGATACTATTATCATTTCTACGAGACTGAAATAAAGAAATACAGTAATAAATTCTTCATCGATAGTTATATAATTAATCAGAAAATAAATTACATTCTATTTTATACTAAATACTCAGTATCTTGCTCTTTACTAAGTGGAAGAGTCTGGCTTGCTCAATTTATGGCGTCAAGATTTAAGATTATTAATTTTATTCTAAAAACAACTCAATTAGGTATCAAAGATTATACTATGTGACGGATCTAGATATATCATTAGAATGAATAAATATTCGTAATAAGAAAGAATGGGACATAAGTACACTAATGAAATTATGATAATTCGCTTCTACTAGACGTTAAGAAATCTTAAATTAGTTAAATAAGTGGAACTTTTCGGCGCGCTTACTCATGATACTTCATGTACTTGTCTACTTAGAGAGTTATAAGCGCTTCACTTATGGTTATTGTATAAGATCGGCAAGTAAACTATAAACAACTAAATTACGTGAATAGATGATTTGAAATCAGTTCGATTCGAAGTTGAATGATTGCAGCCTATATTTAATTAACCGAACCGTTAATATCGTGAACAGGGAATATCAAAATTCCAAAACTAGTAAACAACAGTCAATGAATTATAGATGAATATGTAATTATATGTGAGGAGACTTTTGGCCTAATATTACAACGTGATATAAAATTACTTTAACGAACAATCTTTAAATTAGATTTATCCTATCCGTAACCGCATATCATTTAGAGTCTAGTGGCATAGCTATAAGCTACGCTTATCACGGTAGATATACAGTAATAGTACTAACTTTATGAATTTATTATTATTTTTGATAGGATAAGGTTCATTTAGTCTCCTTTATTCGGTTTTCGATATTATTCTCATTCACTAAAACTATAGAAGTGGCAAGGTACAGAAATGTAAATTTACAGTATACGCGTATACTATACCGTACAGTATACGTATTATGTACAGTAAATGGGGATTTTTTGTAATACCGTCACAGTCAAGCAGAAAGTAGAAGGAAAATTACGCCCATCTCCACAATCAGTATTAAGTGTAGATGGTTTTTGTCGACTTTAAAATGGTCAAAGAGCTTTAGAAATGGTATTAACCAATAAACTTCTAAACTCTATCGTGAAGAAGTGGGTATGCTACCATATTGTGCATGCACAGTGTATAAAATATGCAACCGTCAGCGTTCTTCTACTTCCAAATTTGTGCGAAAATGCCTGGCTACGCGGCCGCGGTTGTACATTTAGTAAAGAACATACTAAATTCTACATAGAAACTTTGTGTTCGTTAATAAATATTAAACATTTTATTTCTAGTACTGTAGATAATAATTTACATTCTTTTCGAATTACGCTAGAATTTGATCATTTCGATATACGTACTCGTGCGTACATAATTATTCTCATCCTATTTTACGTCACATACTTATGCTTTCTAGCGGAATTAATTAAGTACTGTAGAATTTAAAAATTATTCTTCAGGATTACACTAAAATGCGACCAATTCAGTATACGTAGGTAATTATTTTGCTAATTTCTATCTTGGGTAAACATATCTTCTGGAAGAGTTACGTCACTCTTACCGCCGTCAATAAGTTTAACATTTCGTTTTCTTATTGCGTAAATGGCGTAATGATATTTGTTTAGCATAGCTCTGCTATAGTATCTCTACATTACTTTATACTTATTGCGTACTCGTTCAGCAAGAGTTTACTTAAGTTCGAATGAGATAAAATTTCTTAATGCTGACTGACATAGGAGCGTTTCTTGTCATATTGACCTAGGATAGAGAAGAGTAAAATCGTCTATTTCTTCCCAATCTATCCATTTATGATTGGGATAGGGGCGGTGCCCGTCTTGTATCTATGTAAACATACTATATGCTTTACTGTATACCCTTACAGCTCTGTTATTCTTTATTTGCATACAATTCAATACAGCAAAAATGGCGTACTGTATTATGAGTCTATTTTTGTAATATCAGAATATTTCCAACGAAAGTAGAAAGAGAAATAACACGAATCTTCATTCAAGCTAGCCGAGAGCTTACTGACTTAGTACCGTTTTTAAGTATGTTTGAATAGTGAAATTTAGTACATATGTTTAGACAGAGGTGACTTACAAAACTTGATTAAAACTGTATACTGCAGTTTGGTATCATTGAAAATAAAGTGATTTTAAAAATAATTACTTTAAATACCAGTCCCTGTAACAAACACCTATGGGATTGCAAATTTTATCAAGTAAGCTAAAATATATCAAGCTTAAAAGAAACCTTATGGTGGAATCTAATTATAAGAATATTGGTGAAGGGGAGGGGGAAAATAGTTTGAATAGCTAATATATCAGTAATACGTGAGCAACTAATACAATGTAAACCTATTTATTGATGTTTGCTTCAGTAACAAAAGGATATCAATAGTGAAATTTAATCTACTGCTTTTTCGTAGATGTGGAAATAATTTTGTATTTAAACTCGATTCTATTTATAGAATAATCAAGCCATAGGTAAGGTTTTGCTAATGAAAGTACTATAACACATTGCCTGCACATTAAAGCTGTGATATAGAACATTTTTAAAAATTTGTATAACTAGATCTAACCAGAATACCATCGTTATATTTTCGTGCAAAGGCCTAATGAGTAATTGTTATACTGTACTAGCGTTCAGAATAAGTACTATTTTTAAAATCAGGCAACTTTGGTAATGGTGTATTGGTAATTGTAGGATTTTGTATTGACGCTAAAATTGGTCGGCTTGGTTTTTCTTCAAATTTACTTTCACTATTGCTGACATCGGTTTCAGCTATTAAGCTATTCTGGCTTTCTGGAATAGTATTACGAGGCTCAATGCTTGTTTGCTCATTAACTTCTATTTGCACTCTAACAGTTGGTGAGCTTGATGTTTGATTATTTCTGTTTTGACCCTGTGCTATAGATTTAATAAATGCAATCTTAGGTGAATGATCCTTTAATTCAACTTTATCGCTTGAAGAATCCGCTATTGATTGATGTTCGGTGTGGTCTTTAACGACACCATGTGCTACTGAAGTTCGTCTTTTATAGTATGGACTTCGTAGATAGTATACAAGGCCAGCTATAGCGATTAAAAATACTGCACTTACTGTTCCCACCGAAATTCCAGCCACTACCCCAATCGAAAGCCCTGTTGCTTTTAAATTGCTACATCTAATGCCAGTATAAGCGTCAGTACAATTACATGTGCGTGTATTATTTTGGTAAATACATTTTCCTCCATTTAGACAGAAATCATCATTGCATTCAATGCTACAACCGGGATTGGAGTATGGATTGCCTTGATAGCCAATCAAACATGTACATGTATATGAACCTAAAGTGTTTCGACATACAGCGTTAATTCCACATGATTCTGCTGCCAGACATTCATTGATATCGACACAGCTAGATCCAGTGAAACCAACTTTACATTGGCAATTGTAAGTACCCGGTAAATTAATACAGTTTTGATTACTATTACAGATGTTGTCTGTTGACCATGCACATTCATTGAAGTCGGTAACTGTGACATTTTGTATCGGTTGTCCTTGGATAGTAACTGAGCCAGTAGATATGATACTAGCAATTTGGTTTGGATTAATATTAGAATTTTGCTTAAATATCGGATAATATTCAGCAATGATACTACCAGCTTTGAATCCTGTAACCTCTACTCGTTCGAAACCATCTTTGGTTACCGAAGAAGATTCAAGGGCTAAAGTTAATACTGAAGTAATCTGCTGCTTAAGTGTTTGAAATATAGCAGAATTTGAATTGTTCAAGTCTGATGTGAATGTACCACCAATTTTAAGACTTCCAAAAAAGACCTTGCCTTGTTGACGGTGAGAATCGCTTTGAAGTTGAATTTGCGGTAATGTATTGTTAGAATAGTATCCAAGTTTGCAGCTGCAATAATACTTATTCTCAAATATCATACAGGTTGCTCTATTAGTGCAGTTATTATTTCCGTCACAGGTAACGACAGCAGCGCAAGTAACACCGTTGCCATAATAACCTGGTTTACAGTGGCACGTAAATGATCCTGGAATATTAGTACAAAGAGCATTACTATGACAATTATATTGGTTACTTGAGCATTCATCGACGTCACTGCAATTAATTCGTGCATTTCCAAAATAACCAGCGTTACACTTGCATTGATATGATCCATTAGTGTTAATACACTGAGAATTATTAACGCACATATTGAGACTAGTAGCATTGCATTCATCGATATCCTGACAAGTAAATCCATCTCCTGAATAGCCACTATTACAACCACATGTATACGATCCAATGCTGTTACTACAAGCCGCATTAACTGAGCACCGGCGTAATCCAGATGTACAATTGTTTATCTCTTTAGTATTGCAATTAAACATTGTTGAACATTCATTGACATCCTGACATGTATATCCATTCCCTATAAAGCCTGGCTTGCACATACAAGAGTATGATCCATTGTTGTTCATACAACTAGCGTTAGAAGAACACATATTTGAACCTGTTAAACATTCATCGATATCGCTACAAATTTTACCATTGCCAGTATAACCAATTTTGCATTGACAAGAATATAAACCAGGTGCGTTGGTACAGTTTGCATTTTGACTACAGGGATTATTTTCTAAACATTCATTAATATCGTCACATGTCCAACCATCTGAACCAAATCGATAGCCGTTCATACAACTACATGTATAGCTACCATCGTTGTTTGTACATAGTAGATTAGATGGACTAGGATTGGAGTTACACTCGTCGATATCTTCACTCTCAGTCTGGCTTCCATATGTTAGCGCTTAACCTTTCATACATGAACATATTTCAGATCCGTTTATATAGGTGCAAATTTGTGAACAATTATGTCCAATGCCACAAGATTCACTGACATTACATGTTAGTTTGCTATTATTTAGTTCAAAACCTTGTTCACATTCACATGTAAACGATCCTTCTGTATTAATACAAACTTGGTAACATGGTCTAAATCGTTGGCATTCATTTATATCCACGCAAGTAAGTTTATCACTACTTAACTCGTAACCTTGAATATATGAACATGTATAACTTCCGACGGTGTTATTACAAATCTGGCTACAATTATTAGACATATTTTGACACTCATCTACGTCATAACAGTTTATGCTATCGCCTACATAGCCCGAATTACAAGCGCAGCTATAAGAACCAATTTGATTAGTACATGTAGCGACATTACTGCAGTTATTTGATCCAGTAATACACTCATTAACATCAGTACATCCTCTATTATCACTATTCAGAGTATAGCCAGGTAAAGACTGACAACTGTAGCTCCCCTCTTCGTTAATACAAGTTTGACTGTATGCATGTGTGCCATTTAAACATTCGTCATAATCAGAACATTTCAAGCCATCACCGACATAACCTATTGGGCAATTACTACATGTATAGCCAGACATCGGAGCGATATTGTCCGTACAAGTAGCATTACTGAAGCATGGTTGATCTGCACATGCATAAAATCTTGTGCACAATGACTACCAGTCCAAGCAGGATTGCATCTACATTTAACTTGATCAACATTATCAACAGTAACCATTTCGGCTGCGTAGTCGCATAGGTAGATATATTCCATGTAAATGTGTAAGTTTGTCTATCGAAACGAGAATTTATTGGAGGATTAATGATCTCGACTGTAACAATGTCGCCATTATTAAGATCTGTTATGTTCAATGTTGTAGTAAACATATTTCCATAAGTGACATTATATGTCGTCAATCCAGAAATTTGAGGGGGGAAATTTTCTAATTGATTACTTGTATCTTGATATGTCTGAGATGTATCTTTACTAACGACAGCAGCATCAAGATTTAATGTTAATGCAGCATCAAATAAACATTCACTATTATTACCGCATTGTGCTACGGCTTGGTTATAGAGTTCCGTATTATTAGCAAATAATGCTTGAATATTTTGACCAAAGATTGGCGTAAAGTTTAAATCTGAATAATTACTAGCCGATAGACCATTAGAATAGGTAAAAAGTGAATCACTAGCATTAATCATCCATAATTGGCCAAAAATTGTAAAATATTTGGGATTCTGTTGAATTAATATTCAAGTATGATCCATGTGGTCGTTTGAAATCATGATTGATATTATCATTCCAAGTACCTAAAAGACCAGATGTTATACCTTTAATTTCATCAGGTGCATTGAAAGCAATAGGTAGCATTTTAAATGATATTGTTCTATTGACTAAGATATCGATACCATTAAAAGTCGAATTAAGTGTAAATTGAACAATATCTGCACCAATTTCCATAGTAGCGAATTCAGAGAATACGGTAGCAGCCGCAGATAGTGAGCTATTTCGAATAGCTTTCATTGTACATCCTTGTAACTGAAAATTTTTATTTATAGTTTGCAATAGAACATATTCACCCAGTCCATTGAAGGTGTATAGTTTTCCATCAAATGTCCTTACATGGGGATCACCCCAGAACCAAGCCCTTTTTGGGGGACTGTATCTATTACATTTATTTTTTGATAGGTCTTTTTCTTGTATAAGAAAGACACAACCCAGATCTTACACAGCAATCTGTTAGTGCCTGTCTACTTGTGGATTGCAAGGTAGTATTTTTTAAGATGAACGAACTTCCGAGGGGATATCTAGTAATTAATGAACCGAAAGATTTTCCTGCTGAAAAGTAGCAGCATCGTTGATATACACACACGCCATTGGAATTCCTAGCAGAAAATCTCGATCTCGCACAAAACGTAGTAGTACTGAATCTAAATCGTCTATCACGAATAGCTTGATAAACAGAATAAGGACAAGGTCTTCGAGATAGTAAACTCAAATACATACTTGGTGATGGTTCATTGGCGATCCAAATTTGGCAACGTTAAACGTAATTAATGCGTGGAATTGAGGGATCGTCAACTCTGTATGCCCATCGTCCTTTTCTACCATAATTTCCGGTTATGCTATCGATGCGTAGTATCTTAATAGTATTCGAACTAGGCAGCTCATAAGTGTAGCTAGGTACTTTATAACTATAACCAACTCGAGGCCGAACGAACCTATCCTTTTCCACCAATTCATACCTTTGTCGGCATATATGAATGATGATATAAGTTGTCACCATTAGATGACAAGATCAACTGAAAAGTATTAGTAACGCCATATTTTGCTGTGACAGAGGATGGATATGGTACTAGTTTATGCCAGGTTATTATTGTTACTAACTTCGTATCAAATTTAGTAACAGTTTCATTAAACAAGCCGTAGCTAGTATCACTTGGATTTCTAGATAGATACTTTTGGTACCGAGCAACATCCATACTAGCATTCGCTAAAATTTCTCTTGTTAAGCTAGTAGGATTTAATGAAGTGTACTGGTTGATGTAAACCTGAGAATTTGGAAAAAATGGACCGTCTGCATCAGCGAAGAATGGAGCAATAAAAGGGGCATTTCGTGATCTGTATAATGATCGATTTGGCGACCCGTAATAGGGATTACTAAATGATACAAATCCATTAATTGAAATCTGTGATATGATGTTGTGGAGTAATAATACAAAAATTACCGTAAGAAAATAAATTTGAAAAGAAAAGTAAACCGAAAATTGCCACCTTGTAATATGTTATGCTGTAAATTTTCTGGTAAATAATTAATAAACTAATACCAGCGCTACGTAAAATTCACTTACATATAGTTTACGCTGAAATTTATTCATGAAAAATATTGGTGTTCTCGGGTAGATTACGAAAGGTCTGCCATCTACTCTACCGAATGATTGATCGTTTTGTGATGGTCCGTATGGGTAAAGTCTTAACTCTAAGATGGGATTAATGCCGCTATTAATCTGATATCAATTTGCATTTCAAAGCTTAAAAAAATCTTATAGGGTTTGAGGTGATAATATACAAAATATTTCAAAATAATTCAAATCTTAAATTTTTTTATCGTAAATAGAAATTGCAATCGTTATGGCATAGACACGCGTCAAAATCAGAATGTACTGAGATAATGGTGTACTATACCTTTGCAAGTTAATCCGTCTCCTATATACCCAGGATTGCAGTAACAGCTATAAGAACCTATGGAATTATGACACATAGCATTCTGATCGCAGCTGTGCATGGCCAGATCACATTCATTTTGATCTTGATGTTTTACAGAATAATATTATGATTAATACGGTGCCGTTATTGATTATGCAATTAGTGATCTATCCATTCACTAATTACTGGTCGTGCACAGAAATTTTTAGTAAAAGCCTGACTATTACATCACGTATTGTACGAAGTATTAATTATTTATATACGTGTTTCGTCTTAAAAGAGTGGCATTTGAACCCTGGTTTGCATTGACAGATAAACGAAACATTCCTATTATGGCAAACTGCATTTTCATGACATGTGTGATTTCCAGCCACGCACTCATTGACATCTTCAATAAAATGCATGAAAAATTACTAATATTCTGTGGAGTATAGGCTTGAGTTGTAGCATAGAATATCTAATTTTGGCTAAAGACTTATATTCAACCCCTTCGATTTCAAATGCTATGAGAATTTTTTATTTTTCGTCGTACCTTGGCATGTAAATCCATCCCCAATATATCCTTTTCTACATCGGCAAATATACGAACTGCTTGTATCAATGCATACAGCGTTCTCATCGCAACCATGAATTTCAGCTTTACACTCATCAACAGCTGAAATAAGATAAATAAGTTATACCTGTCATCAATTTAAATGTCACTACGTCGGATTACTATCTACACAGATCCTAAGCATTGATATGCCATTTTCCTGAATGTAGAATTAAACTACGTGGCACTGTATTTGCTTTGAAAAGGCTACAGATGTCAGAACTGGCATGATAAGAAGTTCATACAGTTTCCATAACTATGGTACGAGAGATACAAGGTAATCTCCTTATCAGGTGGATTACGTAATATCAAAATACTTTAAATCTGATCTACATCTATAACTCACGCTTAATCATATTATGTTAGTACTACCAGTAAAGTTCCTGTTCAAATGAACGGGTATATGCTATATTCTACGCAAAGAAAGATATTGAAAGGAAATTTACAGCCAGATTATTTCTTACTACTGTGTATATGCTTTCTCTAGTTTATGACGTGCTTTTTTGGTATTTTGCTATAATACCAAGATATTGCCTACTGTAACTATGGTATACTGTAGAGTTAGTATTGCTTATCCTTGTTGCTTCATTCCTCTGAATACATAAAAATTGTAACTTACTAGTTTTTCCCTATAATAAAATCAAGATACGGCGAAATTGGGGCAAGCATTAGTGCTATTGATAACATGCTAGGTGGAATAAAAACGGACTCTAAATTAGCGCTCGATAACAATTAGCAATAACAGAATTTCTTCATAAATGAAATCTGCATATATTTACTGGGCTTGTTAGCGGAATACCACTGTAACTTTAGTACTTGTATGATATCGATAATAGTAAGAAATTTTACTAGCATACCTGTATTACAGCCAATACTAACATCTTCATTGTGGATACAGTAAGTTTGTCTCAAATAGGAATGAGGACATTGTGCTATATCTTGTTCATAGCCAACACATTTGATATCAGCTAACCAATCATGCCATTTCCGGAGCCATAAAATGCGTTCTTTCTAATAAAGATTGCTCCACTTGGAAAACCTAATTGTTTACATATCACATCAGCAGAAGTAATGGTAAATCCTCGTTGGCAAACAGTTCCCCAGATGCTATCATATTTGATTTTTAAGACGTCCTATGGAAAGATCACCACCAACTAGTCTGGCTTCCACATTACGGGCTTTATTGAGAAAATCGTGGTAGATTAGTTAGCTATTAGGGCGCAAAGGTCTGAATATGTATATGTGATTTACGATTATAGCAAGATACGCCAACGTCTTCCAAATGTGAACAATCATGGAAACTCCACCTATTATGATCACAGTTTGCCAAAGCTGATTCATTTCCACTACATGCGACGTTATCAAGCCAGATTGGTCCAGTTCCTTTTCCATAAGAGTGCATATAATAATTCGCACGTACGAATCCAATTGTTGACAAACTACTTTGGCATCGGCATTTTGAAATTGGTCATCACAGACAGTACCCCAAACATTGTTATGATAAATTTCGACGCATCCTGTTGAGAAAGTGAAAGTATTGCCGGTGGCAGGTGTACCAGCAAGACGAATGTCGCCCTCCTTCGGTACGATATTTGCTGTAAAGACCAATTAAAAGCAAAATTAGATATCTTGCCGTGAAATATAATAATACTACCGACAATACTTAATAATTATATTCCGAGGTAGTTTGATATTGAAGCGGTAAATTAAAAAAATTCAGATTATTATTATCGTAGTATTATGGTTTACTTCAAAGCTAATTTACATTTAAAATGGTTATCGATTGGTTCGTAATGCCTATAACAAGATCATCTGCTTTAGACTTTGTTTCAACGTCCTTAGCTGGTTATCAGATTATAGAGATACATGGATGAGCAAATCTACTTCATAATTTTAAAGCGATGTAACTGTAAAACTGATTATTTATTAGCTAGTAGATTTTAGATTGGAGCACTTATAATATCGTCAGCTGAAACTATTACAAACCGGTAGTCTTCGTAACTATACTTTATTGTAAAACAATACAGTATCTTTTTATCTTATCGATGCACTGTATCGATAGCTAATTGACCCGGTTATAAGCAACAGTACTAATCTAATATTAATCAGCATCGTTAATGGATTTTAGGGTTACTGAAATATGCGATAATTCATAAAGCTCAACAAAATTTTGTATGCTTGGTTATTGTGTTAGATATAAGTAATGCGGCAAAATATTACACTTACCGCATCGATCAAATTTTACCGAAATATCGTATATCGCTTGTAGATTGAAAGAGACGAGTTCCGATAAAAAGAAGCTAGAAATTATGTGAAATATGTAATGTAGCTCAAATATTAAATATTCGAATCGTAAATGTTTACATTCTCTAAGATTTATTAGTCTTTGAAAAATGTAACAGTTCTAGTTAATACTCTCAAAAGGTTACCAAGGAGTGCAGAAAATCGGGGAATTGTGATACTATACCCTGTGAAGCCCAGGCGAGAAGTTAATGTTAACATGGTACCATCGCTGCCCGCTGTTGCCAGAAAGTGTATAAACTCTATTTGAATAGCCAAATAGGGATAGATCGCCAATTCCCTCCCCATATCTGTTGTAACAAAATGTAAGGCAGAATATGTTAAATGCATAGATAGATGGCATCGTCAATTTTATTTGTAGCATTTATGTAATTTTGTCAGCAAGCTCACAAATTTACTGTGTGGTATAGTAATAGTTACGCTATAGATATTTCAGTCACGGTGACGTTTAATCATATATACTGCAGTAAAGCATTCGACGAAATTTTCAAAACAATTATATACGTTTTACTTTATGCTGTTTAGATTTGATGATAAAGTAGTACAAACCTGCTGGAGTGCCTAAAGTATGATCATTATTTGGACCAGTATTGGAAGTTGGTGTTTTTCCTTTATTTCTAGTCCAACGGACCGTGTTGCTAGTGCCATTTGCTGGATTTTGCCACTTGCAATTGCTCATTTCGAAATTACAACTTAAAGCAGTTGTATTCACTACGGTACAAAAGGTGTAATTAGCGTAAAGTATTCTTCACATTGATTATGAGCAATAACTCTAAAAACATTTGTCGTATTCTGACATGTGTTACTTAGTGTATAAGATATTCTAAGTGTATCACATCAGCTAAGCTGGTAAATTTAAATAAAAATGAAAAGATGAAAATGCTTTTGTTATGCTAATTTTCTCTACCTGAGTTTGCAACAGCTTCGTTATGTCGTCGTTTGCATCATAAATATTAAACCTTTATGAAAATGAAATTATTTATTTTGCAAAGAAGGATATATGGCTTCTAAATTGTTGCCAAATACTGCTGAATCAAATATTTAACATTTTTCACAATAATTATCAATTAGAGTAAGAGATATTAACAGCTTACAGTCTTGGCAGTATCTGCCGGCAATAATTGGAGGGCAGCTACATTGAATTGCATTGGTTGCCTGGTTAGCTGTGCAGACGCCATTAGTAAGACAGGTAGTAGATGTGCAGTATTCTCCTATGGCAATAAAGACAGGATAAAATGTGAAGCGATTGATGTAATTATTTATTTATGATTGATTAATATTCTACAATCTCTAGCTAAAGCGTTAAATTTGTAGTGATAACAAATTTAGTACGGTAATAGACATCGATTTTTGAAGTATTAGATATGACATCTTAGTATACACTGTATAGTTACCATACATTTACTTCAGGGATTACTTTTATTTACTGATACTTTATGCTGTCATTTTAATTGTAGCATAACAACTTTTAATTGCATCTTAATTAATGCATTGGACTTTCAAAGTCTACCTTCTGCTTGAGTAACTATTGATCTAGTATAATCACTACGAGTATTTACGAGTCAATAGTAATCGCATGTACTCGTAATCGAGTATTTAAATTCATAAGTACGTATATTACAGCGTTTTCCAGTATATGTTGGAGCGCAATCATATTTGTAAGTGCTATTTTGAATGGTACAGTTGCTACCGAAGCAAGGATTTTTATAGCAAGGATCACCCTCTAAAAATAAATAGATGATCAAGAGGGATAAATTAAAGCTGCAAGATTAATATAGTTTTAATGATCCACCTTAAAGAGATTTATTAGCATTTTACTCTGTAAAATATTAGGTTGTATTGTAAAAGCATGTTTCTTTCATAAACTACCGTATTACTTAAATTCGTTACTTATTGTAGTATTTCCAGCTGATTTAGGTACGGCATCATTAAGAAGTAATCTTGTGTCACGTTAGAGATTCGCTCAATTTTAATAACTCAGACTTTGAGTTAGACGTTTGCGAGCCTAAGGGGTTATAAAACCTAAACACTACACTTATATAGGTATAGTAAAGCCCATAATTACGGTTGCTTAACATAAAAATGAGAATTTGATATTTGTATGGCCGAAAAGCATTCTATATTACTTGATAAATATCGTAAAACAATAGTATTTTATCATTTCAAAATACTGTTATCACAGATTATGGAAATATCTTCGTCATGATTGCAGCTAGTTTTTCCCGAATAGGAATGAGGACATGTAGCAACATTACTTTCATCGCCTCTGCAGGAAACATGAGAGAGCCAGACTTTACCTCTCTCCAGGCCATAGTAATTTCCATTAAGAAAGTTTACTGCGGCGTTCATAAATCCTAACTGTTTACAGATAACATCGGCGGATTCTATGGTAAAGCCTTTTTGGCAGATTGTACCCCAAGTGTTATTATAATGAACTTCAATACGCCCAAACGAATACTCATCCCCGTCAGCTATTCGAACCGAAACGCTGGTTGCTAGACGTGGTCAGAGAATTGCAAAATCAGTAAACTTAGCAATAGGGACTTGTTTCATTGTACCATCTAAAATAAATATAGCAGAATTGGAAGATTTTATCATTTAATCACACACCATCATGGCATGTTACACTCATTATGTTCTCTATCGCGACCCTAATTCCTAAACATTACCAGTCTATCATACATAACATCCTCCTTCCTCAGAAACAAAACATATTTATTTTTTATATCAATAAATTGTATTCACTGCACCTAAGCTTAACATTCAAAGGTCTTGTCTGACTGAATACATTCCGTGCCAGCCTATTAATTAATTATTAAATTACTCTAATACATAGTCCTCGAGTTCCTTGGTAACTTTATATTACGACCCGATCTCGTGCTCGGTCTTCTGGTTACTGATGCTGACGTTTCTTGTCCTTTGTTGTCAGTTATATTCTGACTTTGCTCCGTTTCCCTTTCCGAAAAACTATCTATTAGTTCCTCTGTGACCGCGTAGTCATGATTTGGTACTTTCCTAATATGCTTTCGGTTACGTCTATAAATAACACCATCTAGCGATTGCAGTATATACGATCGAGGTGAATTATGTAACTTTAGTATCCTAGCACGTATCCATGCGCCTTTAAGCCGCATGACTACTTAGTCTCCTTCTTTCAGAAGCGACAAATCTCTGCCACTGCGACGATCGTAGTATCTTTTAGATAGCTCCTGTCTTTTCTTAAGCATCAATGGGATGTTTAAATTATGTGCTATAGGAAGTAATACTTTTGCAGTAGCCGGTAGGAAAGCTTTTAATCTTCTTCCCAGAAACATTTGAGCTGGAGATCGTCCTATATCTAGAGGAGTATTTCTATAGTCTAGTATTGCTCGATGTGGATCTTTGTTTTTTCGTAGGATGTTCTTTACAGTCTGCACTGTTCTTTCCGCTTGTCCGTTACCTTGCGGGTAAATTGGGGCTACTTGAAGTATGTTTGAATCCATACTGTTCCATAAAGCGTCTAAAGTTCTCTGAATTAAATTGCGGCTCATTATCACTGACGATCTCGTCCGGTATTCCATATCTAGAAAACAAACCCTTCAAGCATGTTATCGTCGCTTCGCTATTTAGGCTTTCGAGTCGTAGGAATTCCGGCCATTTAGAATAATAGTCGATGACTAATAAAAATGTCTTCCTTGAAACTCAAATAAATCTACTCCTAATTTAGACCATGGTCTCTCGGGCATTTGAGGCATTATCATTGGCTCTCTGGCCGGCATCTTTTGATATTGAGCACATATATGACACGACTTCACCAAGTTTTCCATGTCTAGTGACATCCCTCTCCAAAACAGTATATCTCTTGACATACTTTTGCACTTAACTATACCCTGATGTGAATGATGAATAATTTCCAACATGCGCTTTTGTAACGCTCTTACTGTTTGTAAATCATTTGCATCCCAATTCATTCTCGGGCAATTTCCCATAACCCCTTCCATATTCTTTTACTTCTGACACCACGTTATGTTCTCTATCGCGACCCTAGGTCAATCATGCGATACTCGGTTAGACACAGCAAAGTAGCCTGATGCGTGGAGTCCACTTCTTTATTCTGGTTTGCGTTTCCCACAAGTGATATATATATATATTACATACGTAATTAGTAAATTACTAGTGAACGTATTGATACAGTTACGATATTAGTATCATACGGTTATCTTATCAGCTAGGCAGCTATGCAATTTATCAGCCCTAATTCCTAGACATTACCAATCTATCATACATAACAACACTAATATCCTCGGAATGAGCGCAGTTATGATTCCCCCAGCCATTATTGGTACAATTCATTAGGGAAGGCTCAGTGCCGAGGCAACTAATATCACCTAACCAAATTTGTCCGGTTCCTGCTCCGTAGATATTACCAAAAGTAATTACTCCTAGGAAACCTAATTGTTTGCAGACGACTTCTGCATTGGTATAAGTAGATCCATCATCGCATACAGTTCCAAACATCGCTGTGGTAGATTTCAACTCTTCCTGAAAAGTAATTCGAACCACCAACTAAGCGAATTGTACCTTCTCTGGCAGTTGCGATACGAAATTAATATCAGCATATCAATAACAGGCGATCTTTCTGACCTAGGTAGCGTTAGTGTGATCACTCATCTTCAATTTAAGTTTGAATTTAATAAACACATCGGGCATGCATACTACGTTACAATACTTTAGCAATGCAATAAAACTATTAAAAACAGCATAACAATTATAATGTAATTCATTACATGGAGCATAAATTTAAATTTTATTCGGTATGATGCGCAAAATACGGTACGATAGTCAATAATACTAAATTGTTGGATTATCATTCAATGTACGGATAACTGTAGAGAAAATCTTAAGTTTTAGAGATGATTTTGAACAAATGTATTGACTGGTATGGGAAGCACTGATACCTCGAAATTTCAGGTTATACGAAGAAAATTTAAGCGGTATGCTCCAGCATGTCTATTAATTTACTTATATTATAATTTTGTGGGTATTGTTCTTTAATACCTTCAGGTTGGAATTCAGAAGTTGCTGCTAGATTCAATTATTTGACAATATAAAAATTAAGAAATCGAAAGTCATTAATTCATACTTCCAAATAGACCCTAGTGAACACTAATTTCACATACTCTGATCTCAAATGCAGTGGCATATCGCTTTTACAGTAAGAAGAATATAATTATACTATACAAAATGCGGTATACAAAAACAGATAGTCTGAGTTTATGATACCATCAATGATTAACTCTCCTATGTCCTTCTCTGATAATATAACAACTTACAATAGGGTTCTAGTGAGCTTGATATATCATCAATTTGTAATGTCACCCGTAAAACTGGTTCCAGCAACTCCTACAAACCTTATCTAATGCAATTAATATGTGATATTAAACGAGCACTGCTATTCTTATGATTCAGTACCATACGCAGACAAGTTACTACTAGAAATGACACCAATCAATTGATTTTGGCTAATGTCAGTATTTCGTTTAAAAACGATATAGCAATCCATAATAATACTTCATGCTCGGAATCCCGTAACTAATAATATTTCAAGATTTTCCTTTGTTGCCGTTGATGAGTTGAATGTAGCTGTTAAGGCAGATGTAACTTGCTGCTTGAGCACGCGATATGCTGTACTGCTGGGATTATTTAATTCTGGTTTGAAAGTCCTAGTCAGTCTTAGATTTCCAGAAAAGACCTTCCCACGTTGGCAATGTAAATCAGATTGAAGTTGAGTTTCTGGCACGGTGGTATCAGAATAATACCCGATCCTACAACTGCAACAGAAGTTGTACTCAAAAATCATGCAATTTGCTTTGTTATTGCAGTTAGTATCACCTGTGCTTGTACCAATTTTTCGTGCAATTTAAGCCGTCACCGAAATAATCTGATGCACATTGACGGTTAAATGATCCAGGCACATTAATACACTGAGCATTTTTATGACAATGATGCTGATTACTCGTGCACTCATTAATATCGTTGCATTCAATCAAGGTATCACCAAAGTAGCCACTATTACATTGGCAGTAATGTGATCCGTAAGTATTAAAGCAATGTGAATTTTTTCACTGTATTCATTAACGTCTTCACAAGTGTAGCCATCACCATCGTCACCGTTGTTGCAAGTGCATGTATATGATCCAATAGCATTACTACAAATTACATTGACAGAACAGGCATGAATATTAGCATGGTATTCATTTATATCGCCATAAGTTATTCTTTTGCCTGAGTATTCATGATCACATTGGCATACGTATGATCCAATAGTGTTATCGAAGGTAGCGTTATAAGAGCACCGGCGTATTCCTGTGAAGCATTCATCAACATGGTTGCAAGTTTTACCGTTACCTGAATAGCGAAAAGCCTTGCTTGCATTGGCAAGTATAAGAGCTAATAGTGTTAGAACAATTAGCATTTGGATTGCATTCTTTGCTTATCAGGCATTCATTGATATCTTCGCAAATAAATCCATCTCCAGAATAACCTATATTACATAAACAACTATATGATCCATTGTTGTTATTGCAGTAAGCATCGACGGGACAATTGTGACCATTTGAAGAGCATTCTTTGATATCAGTACAGGTCGACCCATTACTGAAGTAGCCCTGTTTACATATACAAGTGTAAGAGCCATTACTGCTTAAACAATTAGCATTCGCGTCACAGCGATTACTGGTAGAGTATTCATTGATATCTTGACATGCAAATCCGTTTCCCGTGTAGCCTCCATCACATATACAATTATAAGATCCATGAATATTATTACAGGTGGCTTTTGCGCAAGAAATGTGATTACCCCACAATACATTCATTGATATCTACGTACGATCTACCATTACCGGTATAACCATGTCTGTAATAGCAAATATAAGAACCAATATTATTAGTACAGTTGACATTGAGATCACATTGATTATAATCATTTGTGGTACACTCATCTACATCTTTACAAGTAAATCTGTTCCCTGTATAGCCAGTATTGCATATACGAGTATATGTATAAGATCCGTTAATAGTACCACACGAAGCATTTATAGAATATGAATGAATACTAGTAGCACATTTATTTATATCTGAGCATGATCTACCGCTGCCAATATATCCATTTTTATGTCGGCAATTATAAGATCCTACATTGTTGGTACAGTCGGCATTGGAGTCACATTGGTTACTGAAGGTACACTCATCGATATATCCTGATATACAAAGCCATTTCTAGTATAGCCTGTATAGCAGTTGCAGGTGTCAGACCCGTTCTTGTTTAAGCAATCAGAAACAACTAAGCATGAATGGTTACCGTAAAGGCATTCATTAACATCATTGAATGTTGTTCCATTGCCATGAAAGCTTTGCTTGCATATACAAATATGTGAACCATCAGTATTCATACAATCCGCATTATCACTACATGAGTTACTAGTAATACATTCATTGATATCTTGGCATCTATATCCATCTCCAGCATAGCCTGGCATACAGGTGCATGTATATGACCCATTCCTATTAAAGCAGTAAGAATTGCTTGAATACATACGTATTGGTATCTGTTAAGCATTCATTAATTTTCGAGCTAGTTGTTCCATTAGCTTAACATAGCTTGATGATTGCACTATATAAACTAGTACTGCGATAAAGAAGGAGAAGGAGATGTGACAGTATACGTCATTGTATGTACATTCGTATGGTTCATAGTATTAGATGTGTTGCTTATGACTTGGTACGCTTTAAATATGAATACTGTATTAAAGTATTAGGGATAAATAGTCATTATGATAACGTTTGATATACAACATATATAATCACTGGATAAGAGACCAGCTGCGACAGATGTACATGTACGAGCAAGGAAGTAGGACAGGCTCTTAAATAAAGACTTACCTAAAACCGTTATAGAGTTATTGCCAAAAAAGTTGTCGGATGTTATCACTAAGTATCGGCATAAAACTTGTATTAGTGGAAATCGCTAGCCACTTATTTGGCCTTTAGGATAAGTAAATAGAGAATCAGTTGCATTGATCATCCATAACTGACCAAAATTATAATATATATCTAAGATTCCGTGGAATTAATATCTATATAGCTTCCATCTGGTCGCTCAAAATCATCTTTCATATTGTTTTTCCAAGTATATAGTAATCCTGCTATGGTACCTTTAATTTCCTCGGGCCCATTAAATGCCACAGTCAGTATCTAGGTTAACAAAGTCACTTCGACAGATAATCCTGATGCTATTGGATGCTTTAGCTACTTCTACGTTGGTAAATGTATGATCTCCATTCTCAGACCGGTAGGCACTAGTGTATTACTGATAACATTGATACATGATGGAACGTATTGGAAATACCAGGTAAGCATATTACAGTACAGTGTACTGTATGGTACTCGCAGGAAATTTCAACTTATTTCTCACTTGCAATCAATCGTATTTTACTAAGATAATCTATGGACAATCTACAGCATCTTTAATTGCTTGTGCACATATAAATTATGTAAATGGGTCAGATAATTGCAGTATCTTTAATTGTATGCGCACAGTACGGTAAATTATGTAAACTAGTCATATAAATAGGTAAGATAAGCTACAGCATCTTTAATTGCATACGGACACGTAAATGGGCATCGAATACCTATATTGCACGAAAGGAAAATATTATGAGCACGATTAAACCGTATTTTATTGAGATTCTGACAAACACCTCAAAACAATTTGAGGTATATTTGAAATGAAACGATGAATAACGTCGCCAATATACACCTATACATCATTAGACTGTATAAACAAGGTTGAACGAACATGGCATATTTTTGATACTGGTACTTGAATAGACGTATCACTGTTTACCTATGCAATTCCCAATATCAAACAAATAAAGTACGTAAGAACGATGGGAAAACTTCTCAACCAATATGCTGTATATAATAATAATCGGACATAAATATTAAAATATTGAATAGACCTATTACAATCTACCCTAAGCAGCTCAAACATCAAGCAAATAAAGAAAGTATAAAATTATGAGGAAGTTTCTCAGCCAACATAAACCGACATACTATATTTATTTATTAATAACTGTACAGTATACGCGTATACTGTAAGTGTTAAAATATTAAGTAGACTTGTTGCAGTGTACCCAATGGGTCAAAAATATCAAATAAGGTTATAGAATAATGAGAAAATCTCTCAACAAACAGAAGTATCTCTAATGATATACGTTAGAGCATGTTCTGCGTGGATGATATTTACTCCTACATCTAATCTTAGCCATGAAACGTTTACATCTATTCTTACTGCAGGCTATTTGCAAGAGCATTTAAAAAGATCCTGACCTTTGTAAAGAGAATCTTTTCGGGAAGCTCCAAGTATAAGACTTCGAGATTAGCGATAAAGAGCAAATTATACACGTGCATTTAAGCGAAGTATAAACTTTGAACAGTACAAATGAAAGATTAGTTCTAAGCTCGCAAAGATCTACATCGCGATAGACTAACAATATTCTTTAGCGATCTAGGTACATATATCAGCCTCACTTCAAGAGACAGTGTACAAAATGTCGAGTGCTAACCCGTAAATAAGTTAATAATTCACTGCAGCTAGTGTCAAAATTTCAAGCGTTTCTCAATGAATCTATTACAATAATCAGCTCTACATACTGACAGAGCTGTAAGAAGGTTTTCTATTAAGTGGCTTTCTTTCAGGAACGAAGTGAATCAGTTTTATATTTCAGTTTATGTACGGTAGCAAAAGATTTAGGAGTAAGTTCTTAAATCCAGATCACGACAATGAAATAGTAATCTATCCATAGTAAACGAACACAAAAACCAGATCAAGATTGCTGACACGTTATGTGAAACATAAGGCATTTAATTCACTGAATAATGTCTTATATCTGAAAATGTAGCATATCTACTACAGCAATGAAAAGTCACTAATAAGATAAAATGTATCTAACATAATTATTTCAAAATTCTAAGTAAAACTTCAATTTTACTGGATTAAATTGCATTTAGTCAATAAATTTGATGAAATATGGATACTTGTATACTTTCTATTATAATAAAAATGACAACTAACTGAATTGAAGCAGTCATTTCAGCTCTCATAGATCACTTTCACGGAAATTACTATTACGTAAATTGTAAATTCTAACAGTGCACTTCTGGTTTTCAGTAGGACCCTATCCTACTAGACACTTCATTAGAATTTCTACTAAGTAATCAACATATAATTATAATATTACAATAATTATAGATGACCCAACTTATCAATAAATATGGCTGATAAAATGATAACCATTAACAAGTTTCATCTGGTACTGGTAAAAATGAATCCCTCCAAATTAACTACAATTAATCTGTGCACCTAAGAATGCATAACCATCATAAAATTATAATTACATTGTTTACTTATTTAAACCAGAATATATCTTACAACGCCTGAAATTCATTAAACAATAGCCAAGCAATCATTCACGAGTAATTGCGATTTTGAGGTAATAATTTATTAATTCTCTGTAACAAATCAATGCATGTCGGAAGCCTTATTCAAAGCCAGAAAGATAGATTCTGGTGTTTTAGCAAGAAATGACATTTAGTATGGATACCTATCAAAATTTAACGCTCCGTTTTATAAGGCATATACAAATTTTAGAAATGTTAATGATTTGGTAACCAGTGATTGTAACAACCAAAACGGTATCCAATTATAATACGCGTGTGCTTAGTTTACCATCAAACCGTGGATACATTCAAATTTTTTAGGCTGCGAATTACATTTTTTGACAACGCGACCTGATGTATAGAGCTGTACAATGTGCATTCTCCGCTCATGGTGCCTATCAGTTCTGGACTGTAGTGTATGACAGCTCATTTATTATATTATGCAACTGTGAATTATTATGTCTTATTTCATACCGTGCACCTCTAATTAAGAGTTTAAAGAGGGATTTTATGCCACAATTAAGACAATACACGACCGTACAATGCCAAGCGATAATTTACGACATCTAAGCCTTGTTGCATCAGTAATCATCAAACTGATAAAAAATAATAAATGTTGTAATAGCATATGGTATCAGTGACCATCATTATACTGAGTATCCTGCGAGTTGCACCAAATAGTCTTGCGAGAACAAATCATAACATCACAGAGATTTTATTTTGTTTTATTTATTTATTCAGTAAGATAGAAACTGGATTACCAACACTCATTCAGTTAGGCTGCAATATCATTATAGACTAAGTGTGGGTAATATAGGCTACAGATATCAATATAATAAAAATCCGAGAAAGACATATTAATCCTGCTAGCAGCATCCTTATTATTTCATTCAGATTTGAAACTATGAAATAGCATGAAGATTAAATCTAATAAAATTTCAAAACGTGGATTAATTTGAAGTGATAATAAAGATCTAACAGCTAACGATACGATATATATCCATATAAAATTAGAGTCGTCGTGTTTCCACGTTCGTCACGAGAGCTTTCTATACGAGTATTATTGAAGATATCATGGCTACCAAAAGTTTATTGAGCCAATTATTTATTACGTATTGAAGCGTAGTACATCTCAAGAATTTAACTTGCTATGCTACACATACGGTAGAATCTATGTTATGTTATTTATATAATTAAAAAGACTAAAAATTATAATGAACTAGAAGCTAGCATGAGCTTCAAAATCTTTATTCACGACACCACTAGGCCCGGGTGTTGGTTTCGTCTCTGTTAATGAATTCAACTCAATATCTTTGTTACTCTGCTTGTCTCGAACCATTGGTTGTTCAAAATGATGATCTAGATTTTCTTGGCTTTCATCTTTTTTCGCTACACGATTGGGCCTTATATTCTTTTTGTAGTATAGAGTCCACGCCAAAATGATGATAATTATTAATACCACTCCACCAACCGATCCGACAGAAATGCCAATGATCAATCCTTGAGGACTAGTACATCTATCACCACTATATCCGCTAGCACATTTACATTTTCGTTTACCTTTTTCAATGGTACATGATCCACCATTGACACAGTAATCACTATTACATTGTAGGAAGCATCCTGGTGTCGAATATGGGTTACCATAATAGCCAGCCAAACATGTACAATTAAAATATCCTTGGGTATTGGTACAGATAGCATTATTAGCACAAGAATCTCTAGTAGCGCATTCATCGATGTCAACACAACTAGATCCGGTGAAACCTGATTTGCAATTACATGTATATGTACCAGGTAAGTTCAAACAATTTTGATTATCGCTGCAATCATTGCTTTCAGGGTTTGCACACTCGTTAAAATCTTCTACAGTTACATTTTGGACTGCTTGCCCATTAACTGTCACATTGCTGTTTGACACCACGGAAACTAACTTATTCTGGTTAATATTTAAAGTTTGCTTAAATACCGTATAATATTCAGCAATAATGCTGCCGGCTCTAAAACCTGTTATTACTACGCGTTCAAAACTTTCTTTTGTTGCAGAAGACGAGTTAAATGTATTGGTTAAAGCAGTTGTAACTTGATCTTTAAGTGTTGTATATGCAACACTATTAGGATCATTTAAATCTGAATTAAAGGTACCAGCAAATGTGAGACTACCGCTGAAGATTTTGCCGCGTTGGCAATGAGAATCCGATTGAAGTTCAGTTTCCGACTGTGAACTATTAGAGTAATATTCAGCATTACAACTACAATAGTAGCTACTGCCATACACCACACAAGTTGCTTTACTACCACAATTAGTGTTACCAGAGCAAGATACAGTTGACGTGCATGTTAAACCATCACCAGAATAGCCCGATTTACAGCTACACGTATATGATCCTGCCGTATTATTACAATTAGCGTTGCTACTGCAATTATTATTTGTTGCACATTCATCAATGTCTTGGCATGTGATGCCATTTCCAATGTATCCAGTCCTGCATGTACAGGTATATGATCCTGGTGTATTGCTACATACGGCATTGCTATTACAGGTGCTGCTATTTGCGCATTCGTCAAGATCTTCGCATATAAAGCCATTACCACTATATCCTGAATTACATGTACATGTGTATGATCCAACGGTATCAACACATGTTGCATTACTAGAGCATTGATCAATTTTAAGTAAGCATTCATCGATCTCATCGCAAGAAAATCCATTGCCCGTAAAACCTTGTCTGCATTGGCATGTATATGAACCTTCAATATTGGTACAAGTAGCATTGCTATCGCATTTATTGGCACTTTCACATTCATCGACATCTTGACAAGAAAATCCATTTCCTGAATAACCAGTTTTGCAGGTGCAAGTGTATGATCCAGCAGTATTAGCGCATGCAGCATTTGTAGAACAGGTGTGATTACCTGATGAGCATTCGTTGTCATCTGTACAAGTTCTGCCATCACCACTATAACCTTGCTTGCACTGGCATGTGTAAGATCCGTTAGTATTATTGCAAGTGGCGTTGTTACTACACTGATTGCTTGATAAACATTCGTTAACGTCTTGACAAGTGAAGCCAGTACCTGAGTAGCCAGTATTACATGCGCATGTATATGACCCAGCGCTGTTAGTACAATTAGCATTCAGAGAGCAAGAGTGAGTACCTAATGAGCACTCATCAATATCTGTACACATACCACCATTTCCAGTGTACCCTTGCATGCATTGACATATATATGAGCCGTTCGTATTAGTACACATTGCATTAGCATCGCAATTATTGCTTGTAGAACATTCATCGATATCTTGACAGGTAAAACCATTTCCAGCGTAGCCGGTCTTGCAAGTACAAGTGTATGATCCAGCATTATTAGTGCAATCGGCATTACTAGAACACATATGACTATTGGATGTACATTCGTTGATATCGGTGCAGACGCTACCATTACCAGTATATCCAGTCTTACACTGACAGGAATATGATCCCGGCATATTTACACAATTTGCAGTAGGAATGCAAACATTAGTATTTAAGCATTCATTAATATCAATACATGTCCAACCATCTGCTGCATATTTGTAGCCATTCATACAACTACAAGCGTAACTACCGTTGCTGTTATTACAAACTTGATTGCATGAAGGCGGACTAATGTTACATTCATTAATATCTTCGCATACCGTCTTACTACCATTTGCAAGTTTATATCCTTTCGTGCAGGAACAGACTGCCAATTCGTTTATATTAGTACAGATTTGTGAACAGTTGTGACCTGGATCGCATGGGTTAGTAACATTACAGGATAGCCCATCATTATTCAACTGAAAGCCTGTCTGACATTGACAGTGGTAAGATCCAGGAGTATTAACGCATACTTGATCGCATGGTCTAAAGCGAATACATTCATCTACGTCATTGCAAGCATGCTGATCATTGCTTAATTCATAACCTTGATTGCACGAACATATATAACTACCGTTTGTATTGCTACATGTTTGATTACAATTTCCATTAGATAAATTACACTCATTTATATCTGTACAATTGATGCCGTCACCGGTATAACCAGCATTACAGACACATTCGTATAAACCTGGTCGATTAATACATGTTGCCAATCCGCTACAGTTATGAGATCCTACGGAACATTCATCAATATCTGTGCAACCTCTGTTGTCGGCATTTAAAGTATATCCAGATAAGCATTGACAACTATAACTTCCCTCTTCATTGATACATGTTTGACTACACTCATGTGTACCGTTGACGCATTCATCGAGATCAGTACATTTTAAGCCATCTCCAACATAACCGGTAGGGCAATCGCCACAACTGTAACCAGATTGTGGAGCAACATTGTCAGTGCACGTGACATTTCCAAAGCAAGGCTGATCAGCACATGCATCAACGTCTTGAGTACAATGATCTCCAGTCCATGCTGGGTCACAAATGCATTCAACTTGATCGATATTATCGATGTTTACCATTTCTGCTGCATAATCGCAGACACCATTATTCGGACAGTAACACATGATAATTTGTGGTGACAGTTCACTTGTTGCTCCCTTAGAATCTGTAGCTACAAATTTAAATGAAATATTTTGATACGTCGATACGTTCCATGTAAATGTGTATGTTTGTGTATCGAATTGAGCCCCCTCCGGACGATTAACAACATCCACGGTGATAGTATCACCCTGGTTTTGATCAGTCACATTCAAAACCGTGACAAATGTTTCACCAAAAGTGACATTGTAACTTGTTAATCCAGATATCTGTGGCGGAAAATTTTCTAATTGGTTAGTGGTATCTTGGTAAACTTCAGATGTATCTTTACCATTGACGGCAGCGTTGAGATTTAACGTTAAAGCGGCGTCGAACAAGCATTCGTTGTTGTTACCACATTGTGCAACAGCTTGATCATAAAATTCTGTATTATTACCAAATAAAGCCTGAATATTCTCACTAAACACTGGTGTGAAACTGGGATCTGTGTAATTATTTGCTGTCAGTCCGGCTGGATACGTAAAGAGTGAATCAGTAAAGTTAATCTTCCACGGCTGACCAAAACCACTATATATCTGCGACTCCGTAGAATTGATGTCTACATTGGTTCCATCTGGTCGTTGAAAGTCGTCGTTGACGTTATCATTCCATGTGCCGAGTAGTCCAGAAGTTGATCCTTTAATCTCTTCAGGTCCGTTAAATGCTATCGTTAACATTTCTGTAAGCAAGGTAACCTCTACTGAAATGCCTGAAGAAAATATTGCTGCTATTGAAACATTAGATACTCTGGTAATATCAACATTGGTAAATTCACGCGTGTCATTTTCAGGGACACTATTCATAGTAAATGATGTAGTTCTATTAACTAATATATCGATACCATCAAAGGTTGCATTAAGAGTAAATTGTACGATATCAGCACCAATTTCTGTAGTTGCAAAAGCAGAGAAAACTGTTGCTGCAGCAGACAAGGTTCCATTTCGAATAGCTCTCATAGTGCGTCCCTGTAAAACAAATGTGTTACCTATGGTTCGTAACAGTACATATTCTCCAAGTCCATTAAATGTATACTGTTTCCCATCTAATGTTTTAACGTGTGGATCACCCCAAAACCATGCCCTTCGAGGTGGTCTATATCCGGCACACCGATTAATGGGTCTCTTTCTTGAGTATAAAGAACAGAAACTGGACCTGAGGCAGCAATCTGAATATGCCTGTCTACTACTATCTTGCAGTGTGCTATTCCTAAAAGTAAATGAGCTACCAAGAGGGTAAGTGGTGATTAATGAACCAAATGATCTCCTAAGAGATGAATAACAGCATCGTTGATAAACCCGTTCGCCGTTACTGGCTCTACGCGAAAATCTTGATCTAGCACAGAAAGTAAAGATACTAAATCTAAATCGTCTGTCACGAATGGCCTGGAATACAGAGCAAGGACAAGATCTTCTACGAAGTGCACGGAGATAGATTGATGACGACGGTTCATTAGCTAACCATGTTTGACAGCGATCGGCATAGTTGATACGAAAAACTGAGGGATCATCGACTCGATACATCCATCGTCCTTTTCTACCATAATTACCTGTCATACCGTCAATGCGCAATAACTGTCTAGAGAATGAATCAGGTAATTCATATGTGTATCTTGATGTTCCGTTACTATAACCGGCGCGAGGTCTCGTATATCTATATCTTTGCCACCAGTTCATTCCTTTATCTTCATATATATATCCAGCAAATAAGTTAGCACCATTAGATGATAATACAAGTTGGAAAGTATTAGTTATACCATATTTTCCAGTAGTGGAAGATGGGAACGGAACAAGCTTGTACCACGTAACAGTAGTGACTAGCGTTGCAGTAAAATTGCTTGCAACATCCGGAAATAATCCATACTGATTTGAATTAGACGGATTATTGCTAATATAGCTCTGATACTGCATAACATCATTAGTAGCATTTCTTAGAATTTCCGTTGTTGCATTTGAAGGACTAAACGAAGAATACTGACTGATGTAAACTTGAGACGTTTTATAAGATCGACTGTCTGCATCGGCAAAAAATGGTGCAATTATTGGTGCATATCTAGATGAATACAACGGTTTACTTGCTGTTCCGTAGTAAGGCCGGTCGAAGGATACAAATCCATTCATTGAAACCTGACAAATATTATGTCCTTAATGTTACTAAAAGAACAGCTACCAAAGAATTATAAGGAGTTTCAGTGGCCATACTGAAACTACTGTAGTTATTACTCTGAACTTTAACAACTGTATTTGCATAGTAAAAATATACTTGTAAAGAGTAGAGGATATTATTACGGCACTTACGTAGAGCTTACGATGAAATTTGTTCATGAAGAATACGGGCGATCTTAAGTAGACTACAAAGGATGCATCATCTACACCTCCGAATGATTGATCACTTTGCAAATTTCCAAATGGATAGAGTCGCAATTCTATTTTCAAAGATATAAAACGTAAAAAATTGACGAAATTATCTTGGTATCAGACTATAAAATTCACAGTTAAATACTGTACCTTTACAATTAAATCCATCTCCAATGAAACCTGGCTTGCAAGCACAGCTGTATGAGCCAACTGAATTTAGGCATATCGAGTTTACATCACACTTATGTATTCCAAGTCGGCATTCGTTTGCATCTTTAATTTAAAAAAATTTCGCTTTTATTTGCTCTGTAATCATTACATTTACTGTAGCTTATACTCTATCAACCAGCAAAAGCATGGAACAAGTAAACCATAATTTTTCGCTTATATAAGATCCGTACTAAAGTATTTGCAAAAATACAGTTTGTGATAGCGATACTCCTATGTTTCTACTGGATCCATAGTAAAATATTTACGATTTTATTACTCTACTACGATTGCAGATGCAAAATACTAACGCTGTTGTACCTTTAGTTCGCTTTCTAGCAATCATAACATTTTTGATAAATCTAGTCTGTCTTGTATAACAACGTATACCTAAGTTACAAGTAAGATCTAGCAGTCATTGTCGATAGTTACCGATACAAATAGTGCCATTTCCAGTGTATCCCAAATTGCAAATGCATTTATAAGAGCCGTATGTGTTAACGCATCTTGCATTATTATTACATCCAGTTACATTAGTTGCGCATTCATTAATATCTATGGAATCCAATGAGTGAAATTATAGCTTTAATAACTTATTCAAAATGAGTAATTTATAAAGTATTGAATAATACCTGAGCATTGAAATCCATTTCCAGTAAAACCCGAATTACATACACAATAATATGACGAATTAGTATTCACACATTGAGCCTGAGCATGACAACGATGACTTCCAATAACACATTCGTTGATGTCTTAATCAATAAAACGAATAAGCAATAAAGATTAATATAAATACATACCGGACATGGAATAAATTCTTTTAGAATTAATCATTTTATTGTAAAACTGAATCAGTACCCGGAGTCGTAGTTGTAACATAGTTTGGAGTCGTAGGTCTTGCAGATGAAACCGTAAGGATTGTCGTTGCTGTGGGCGATGCACTTATAGTCGCCGATGCAGATATGGAAACGGTTCCAGATATTGAGTCTGTAAGCGAAGAGCTAAGGCTGGTAAACGAACGAGAACTTACGCGTGATAGCGATAAACTGTTTGAAGTTTGATAAATACTCCCCGAAATCGAAGACGAGAAGATAGCCGATGATAAATCACTGGAAGTTCGATATACACTACGCGATATCGAAGATGAGAAGACATTGCTTAGTGTTGGTGAAACAGAGGATAAATCGCTGGAAGTTCGATATACACTACGCGATATCGAAGACGAGACGACATTGCTTAGTGTTGGTAAAACAGAGGATAAATCGCTGGAAGTTCGATACACACTACGCGATATCGAAGACGAGACGACATTGCTTAGTGTTAGTGAAACAGAGGATAAATCACTGGAAGTTCGATATACACTTCCCGATATTGAAGAAAAGACACTTGTCAGGGTTCTCGAAACAGAAAACATTCCGTTGGAAGTTTCATACGCGCTTCTCGATGTTGAAGAGAAAGAGAAGTTGGTACTGCTGTACGATGTACTACTCGATAATGATGTATATGGGAAATTGGTTGATAACCTTGAAATAGAACTGCTAATAGATGCTAGTAAAGTCGTGTACGAGGCAAATGTTGTAAACATGCTACTAGATCGCGTGGAAGAAATATAATTGCTTGCTGTTCCTGATAATAGTGATGTTGATGTTGACATATGAGTAGCGCTGATGCTATGTGTAGCATTTGTTCCATCTAATCATAAGAAAAAAAGTTATGCATTTGAAATATTCAATTTTACGATCTATTCTTAGATATCAGCATCGATATAGGTTACACTGATCAGTATTACATTATATTAAGCGTGTAAATATAATAAAAACTTACTGCGACACATAACTCCAACCCAACTATATCTTCCACAATCCGGAGTTTGAATCCAGCTGCTATTATGAAAGCATTGATCTAAACTGTTGCCTGTACTATTACAAACAATACCACTAAGCCATGTATGCGTAAACCCATTAGTGCCAAAGTGGCCACAACAATAATATGTAGAAGCTCCTCCTGTAAATCCAAGCTGACGGCAGACTACATTAGCCTCATTAAAGCCAAAATATTTATTACAAACTGCACCCCATGACCCATTATGATAAATTTCGACATTTCCCTTATTGCTCTGATAACCATTTACAAGCCTTAAAGTTCCTTCTGCAACAGGACCTATTTGCAATCAAGTATTTTTATAATATGAGCGTATGATCCTATTGTGTACAGTCGTACTTAAATCGCTTTTCGTTTTTTTAGCAATGCTATCAGATGTAGTTTTCAACATTTAAATAGATGTTTGGAAATATTTCCTTGTGACTACAGGTGTATCCGTGATAAAATGTTATCACTACTGATAAAAAACATGTATGAATTAAATTGCTGGCTGAATTACATTATTTCAAGTACTTTGCTCGGCCGAGCAAGACATGTTTGAGGCATCTACTAGAGACTAACTAAATGCAGTATTTAGTAAAACATTCTAGAGATCTTCTTTTCGAGGGATAGAAATTATACATGCATATAACAGCGAATGAGTACAAAGCATATTCTGAACTGTAAACATAAGATATTTTATAGTTGATGTAAGTATAACACCAAAAACCTCCAATATTATAATGTTCGAGTTTTTAAATTAATTTAATGCAATTTTTACAATGTAAATTTATCTATCTACTAATAGAATAAAATGCTTAAATCGCGAACTTAAAAGATTAAAATTAAAACTATAACACTAATGTATATCGAGCATGGAATCAGCAAAATAGAACTATTTTTAAAACTTATTTTCTTGCTCATACCTTGTCTACAATTATTTCCGTACCAGCCGTTAGGACAGAGACAAACATAACTTCGAAGTTTATCAATACAAGTGGCATTTGGTGCGCACGGATTAGACAGACATTCATTCGTTTCTATCGCAATAAGTTCAGGGTAAATATTTAGTCAAAAAATGAACAAAATCATTCACGATGACAAAAATAGTTTATGGTACATGCGCCTATTAAAATGTTACCGATGCTTTTACCTTGGTCACATTGCGCTCCAGACCATCCACTGTAACATGAACAATTATATGATGAATTACTAGTTGCAGTACAGCTACCACGAACGCACGGATATGAAGCACAAGGCCCGGCTATAGTTAAATTTAAAATGTTCGATAAGTTATTTAGAGTACCAGTATATTTCAATATAAACAAATATAGTCTCTAAGGCGATATTGACTAACTTCATAGCGATATTATATCATAGTCTACTATAGCAATTTTATGATAAATTTCAATACAAACTTTATTCGGCTATACTGGTGCTGGATTATGTATCGCATAATAAGGCTATCATTATATATTAATACTACTGGTAATATTGAAATTTACAGCATTTATTTCCTTTCATAAACTATTACCGTACTTGAAATTGAATTACTTACAAATACATTGAACACCAGCGTGATTATATCTGCTGCAATAGCTTCCAGTGGTAACATTAGAATACGGACAATTATCTATGAAGGTTTCCGTGCCTGTACAATTAACCATTTCCTTTAAAATTGGACCGTTAAAATATCCGTAGCCTGAACAACAACCAGCACCACTGGTATTATCGAATCCCAATTGGCGGCAAACAACCATAGCGTCACTGATATCCCAGTAGTTATCGCATATAAATCCCCATAGACCATTCTGATAGACCTGAACAGTGCCGTAAGTTGAGCTGCCTCCGACAAGACGTACTTGCCCATTCTGAGCTATACCTATCATAAAATGATGGTATCAATTAATATCAAACGGTCATGCAATAAACAATGCCAACTCTGGTTGTACTGTAGATATTTTAGTAAAAATTTTTTAATACTGTTAAGATGTAACTCTCTCATCTAATGATATTTCATCAATTACAACGCGAAATAAAACTTGCTGAAATACTCGAATTTACTGCATAATTTAAAGAGAAAATTCCATTGAACTACCTAAGCCTATACCTTCAAATAAATTTACTTGAAGTAATATATGCAAATCATGATAATTAGTAAATAATTACAAAAAATGTATATTACATTTTAAACGCTAATAAAATATAACAACATGACTATAATTAATTGATAATACAAGAATTTAAAATAGTTTCCCAAAATCTTAATGAGAACAGTACTAAATAAGGTCAACATTGAATTCTTTTCTTATTATTCGTAAATTCCTACCTTCTCGACAATAATTTCCATAGTAACCTTGTGGACATCGGCATGAATAAGATAAGTGAGCATCAACACAAGTTGCATTGGCAGGGCAAGGATTAGATGCACATTCATTGGTTTCTAGTAGGAAATAAATTTAATAGTAGTTTGTGTTTGAAATACCATAAAATTCTAATTTTACAAATAGAAAATTTCTATGACAAATAGACTGGAAAAAGTATACATCCTGAGTTAAAAATAGATCAAAACGTAATTGTCAGTAAACATGATGCAATTTATCGCAGATATGCATTTTTCAAATCACTCAAATAAAGAATCCGTTAAACATTTCAAAGATTAAACTGAAAAAAAAAACTACAAGGATATCATACCAATGTCACACTGCTGGCCAGTCCATCCAGAGTTACAACTGCAGTTATACCCACTAGTTGAGCTATTAGCATAACATGTACCATGAACACAAGGGTGAGATCCGCAAGCTCCAACTGAAACAATGAAAAATTCTTACTTATCGAATTATAACAGTACCTTGACATAGTAAGAACAATATCTTTAAGAACATCGAATATTTTATAATGTAATATAGTATACGTGTATACTCAAATTCAATAAAATTTATTTACATCACAGTAGTAATAATAGTACTTTTATTTAGAATAAGCCTAAAATTACATGTATATAAGATACTCGTAATATTCGCCTTTTGAAAATTTACCATATATGTGAGGTATCAGAATCTAATTTTTATCAGGGATTTTATTTATAGCGAGACTCAGAAATATTGTATTCACTTTTCATCCAGTAACCTTGAACGAAACAGTAGCTATTAACTTAATATTAAGCTATCACTGACCTATGCAACGAAGACCAATATCACCATAACTTTGGGAACATTGAGGAGTATTACCCCATCCACTATGAGAACACTGTGACAATGAGGTTTCGCTACCGGTGCAATTAACGTCTTTAAGCCAATAGGAACTATTTGTATAACCATAGTAACCACAACAAAACCATGATCCACTAACATTAGTGTATCCTAATTGTCTGCAAGCCACCAAAGCAGACTGAATGCTAAATCCCTGGGTACAGATAGGACCCCATCTGTTGTTATGATAGATTTCTAAACGACCCTCATTTGGTACCGGACCGTTATCTAATCGTATAAGCCATAAGCTATTCGCGTCTAACATCAAAAATTATTACGAAGTTTAGCATAAAAACAAAGTGGTGGACTAAACAAATCGCTTCAGATATCAAAGTTAGGATATCGCAACTTGCAATATAAACTGATATACTTGTGTAATATATTCGTACATTTATATTTATGCTATAGTAATCACATTACTATACTGAAATAAAATTGAAAGGATTCTCAATTTCAATACTTAATAAGATATGGTCTAAAGTCTTACAGTAAAAGGATTAAACTACTGACAGATGGCTGTCTTATAAACAAAATTTGTTTTGAAATGAATTATAATATATGTTTATATATCATAAACCTTCTACCTGTTTCGCACATAGATCCTGTATAACCAATCGGACATTGGCAATTGTAACTGCCAATGCCATCATAACAAGTTGCATTATTTGGGCACGGTGATGAAAGGCATTCATTTATATCTAAGTGTGCGATAAAATTTGTTACGATCAAACAAAAATGAAGCGTGATATGAAGTCATCTAAAATTATGAAATTTATTTCTACGACATAATAATAACACGAATCGAAAAACTTTCAAACTTAGTTGAAGTTTGAAATTTCTTATAAAATTTAAACTTGAATAGTGTTCTCTAGTCTGCATATCGTCTATTTTAATACAATAGATTACAAAAAAAGCATCATACTTACTCAGTCTACATGATGAATTAATGTAACTGTAGCCAGACGGACACTGGCAATCGTATCTACCAATTCTGTCGATACAAGTAGCGTTGCTTCCACATGGTGATGAATTACATTCATTGATATCTATTTAATAGAAGTACGCGCATATCTAATTAATATTTACTGTATACTAATTAATCTCAAGGCTAATAGTCTATTACAATCTAAAACTTTAATAAAGAACTACTGTACTGTTACTACTGTATGTATTAATAATGGCTACTTGTAAACTAACTAACTAACATCGTACATTCCATTTATACTTTAAATTGATAACAGTAAAGAAGTTCATAAATTAATTCTAAACTACTATTACTTGTGTAATTGATATTGCTTACTTGTTTGACACCTATTGCCAGTAAATCCATAAGAACACGAACAACTATATCCATGAATTCCAGCAAAACAAGTAGCACCATTTGAACACGGATTCGGTAAACAACTATTACTAGCATCTAAATATAGCATAAATTAATATTAGTATACGAGTATAAATAAGATACAAAACATAGTTTTACGCGTATTCAGCTTAGCACGTAAATTTGGATAATTATTTAATGTTATTATGAAAAAAGTTTTACTGACTTTGTTGGCAATACGAATTATTGTAGATGTAGCCTGGTGGACAATAACAATCGTATCTACCGATACCATCAATGCAGGTAGAATTGTTCAAGCATGGAGAGGAACTACATTCATTAACATCTGTTATAGAATAAATCAAATAAAATCAATCCATACATTCTTTTCTATTATTTAAAACTCATAAAAGCTAAGATATCAATCTGTTTCAAAGCTATGAAATCATGCACGACTACAGCATAATGAAAGTAAAATAATGTGGCTATGAGTGAAGTATGTTGTAATTGTAGTAGTTATTACTTACTTATCTGACAAATATTGCCAGTAAATCCATGAGGACATGAACAATTATATCCACTCTGGGTTCCTTGTGAGCAAGTACCGCCATTTAAGCAAGGACTTGGCGAGCAACTATTGTTTAAAGCTGTAATATTTAACAGTTATTGACAATCACAATTAGTAATACAAATTATATAGAGGTAAAATCAAATTGCTATGACAAACTATGTATAATAGAATTCTGTTTTGTTATGTGTTCTATCCTATCTTACAATCGTTGCTAAGAAAGATATACCAAAGTACAATCGTACAGTACAGTGTATGAAGTAGTTATAGTTTGGTGATACTGTATCACACATACAGTGTAGCCATAGACGTATTTTACGAACTTACACCCGAGACCACTAAAAGGAAAGAAAGAGGGACGTAAAGCGGCTACCAGTGAAAATTAACATGGAGGTCTATCATTCTTTAGGCCATTCTGCTATAGCTATGCCACTAGCTCATGTATAACCATCTAGTGTGCTTACTGTAGTACTTATGTCTGATTTCTAAGTATGAAAATAGACAGTACGTACACACTACGGTATACTAGACTGTTAGCTCAGCTATTATAGTCTAATACTGTACGCTAGACCACCTACCCCAGGCAACATTAACCAGTTCAATTAAAGACAGAGAAAAGAACGCACTAAGCACTTCTTCTTATTGCGTCTTATTAACTTAATAGTAATTATATTTATATTACTAGGGTAAGCTCGGTGCTGCAAGGTACGTTTCGTATATGGTAACGGAAAGTAACTTTCCTGAAGAAACCAATTTTTGATAACTTTATTCCGCGATTGACGACAACTTTAACGTATTTGACCGATCACGGCAAAACGGAGTGGAACGGAAAACTATTGCACAATCTGCATACAGTGTAGATGCTCCTCGTTGACTTTAAAACGGCGAGAGAACTTGAATAAAAAAAGTTGTAACCTCTAAACTACTCAACTCTATACTGTAGTAAAGCACTATCACCTGTCGTTGCTATTTTGTTTGTGCATGCTTAGTGCCTGATATTGCTTAAATATACTAAATTTTTATGTTCAGTTATTTGTGATATGCATACAGGTAATGGACAATTGGACATTAGATATTAAACGTTTTATGAGAAAAAGTAAAGCACATTACTTTAAAATTTGGGGGGATAATACTCGACTACGCGGATTGTGTACACAAATGCCATATATTGTAGATATTTTTATGTTCAGTAATAGATTTAAACGTTTTGTGTATAATGCACGGCTACACCTGCTTTCGTGACTAGTAATCAGATAAAAGTGTGTGTATATAATATGCTCAGTCACAGAAATTGTGGATTAGTGATACAATTGTACGCAGTAAAGTAAAAAAAACAAGTTTGTACAAGTACACTTATACACTCAGTACTCGGTATTGTAAGTAGCTAGTCCAACAACACGTCTGTGTTTGTTAAGAACGTAATAAATCTAATGAACCATTGTGCGAATATCAAGGTTTAATAGTTAAACTATTACTGTGTATTTTTGTAGTATTATCATATTTCGGAGTTGCAATGTAAGTAAATACTGTAACTTTATCATTATCTTAACGTTTTTAGTGTACGTATAGTTTATCTTAAATAATGATGCCTAACATTTATATACACATAGCTAAATATTCTACAGTTGAAACTCTTTACCGATGTAATACAATGTGACTTACTAGTACACCGAACGCCGGCTATATCGTATCTAGAACATCCATTACTGATACTTCCCCATCCAGAGCCGCGAGAGCAATCTGAAACTCTACTTTCATTTCCTCTACAATATAGATTGCTTAACCACATTAACGTGTAATTCTGATTTCCATAGTACGAGCAACAGTAAGAGCGCGAGGCGTTAGGATAACCTAACTGACGACATACAACTTGTGCATCGTTTATATCAAAGGAATAGTGACATATCGAGCCCCAGGTTCCGTTATGATAGATTTCGACATTGCCCTCATTCGGTCCAGCAGCGTTATACTGAGCCACTAATCTAACGCTACCATCAGCAATTGGTCCTATTACGTTTTATTAACGTTAAAAATTGTTATACAAAATCATATAAGCATAGTATTTTCGAACTCGTTATCACTTACAACTAAAATAAAATATCTAATAGTACAATTAAAAGTTTACTGCTTGAAAATAATATTATTGATATTACTGTAAGAGCTGTAATACGAGCATATCATAATAGCAACCTTCTTGACAGTTCGATCCATAGTATCCATCTGGACATAAACATACATAACTAGTATGTTGATCAATACATGTTGCATTGGCTGAACAAGGGTTAGAAGCGCATTCATTTACACCTAGACGATGTTATCAATCACAAAAATAATTACTATTACAAAGAATATATTTTACGACACCGTAGCATTTCCTGAAATACTATACTACCTATCTTGTAGTGTAGTATTATATTCGTATCATGAATTTCCATTAAAGTAGCTGTTACAATAAATATTATCAACTACGGTATTAGTTACAATCCAAAACTATCTCAACAATATTCAGCCATAAATCTAAACAATAAACCAAAGAATACATAAACTACATTCTACTTACTCATTTGGCATTGCTGTCCGGTCCAACCGTATAGGCAACTACAATTATATCCGCCAGTAGAGTTACTGGTACATGTCCCATGAACACACGGATATGATGCGCAACTTCCAGCTGAAATTAATTTCAAACATTAAAAATTTAAATAGGGTAATTTCTAGTAAATTTTGGTAAGAAAGTATATCCCGAAATAGTTCCGAAACAGTTTAAAAATAATGTATTCGATACAGTATAGGTATACAGGCCACAATAATAATATCTCTTCGGAGATATATGATATCGAGTTTTCCAATGATAAGGTTTCGTAACTGCGTCTGCATAAAATGCTCAATACTAGCTCGCTTCACTAAGATACGATCGTTCACAAGTATCTATCTGTATAATATATCGTCTCTTTAATTACCGAAATACCCGTAAAAGCTATTGATTTATCGCACCTTAACCCATAGTGCTTTACTAATACATTTCCTCTTCTGAATTACTATCTACCGTATACAATTATTTCGATATGTATGCGTATACGAGTATACCGTTTAATTCTATATTAATGTAAATTTATTATTTAATATGCTACTAATTACCTATACATTGGACTCCCGCGTAAGTACTTCGCCCACACGAGCTTGTTACATTCCACCCAGAAGAAGGACAGTCTGTTAATTTACTTTCATTCCCAGAGCAGCCCACATTGGAGAGCCAAATATGTTTTACAGTACTGCCAAAATTTGAACAGCAATAACTGGATGATACATTACCATATCCTAATTGCCTACAAGCAACAAGAGCGTCGTTTGTACTCCACGAATAATGACAAATTGCACCCCACATTCCATCATGATATATTTCTACATTTCCTCTATCAGGACCGTAGTTGTATGCGCTATAAAGTCTGAGATCGCCATCATTTACAGGACCTATTCGGTAATAAAGGTATTATATATTTCCCTTTATAGATCACCATCATTGTTACACTATCATCGAGTAGCATCTACAGTAGCTTAGTTTTTGTTGTATGTTAGCAAGTATATAATATTATTAAACACTTTCTCACTGATTTCTAAATACGTACCTTTACTGCTCAATCTAACAATACGAAAATCTTTTATACATAGTAAAAAAGTGTGATTGATGATGTCGCCGATATCCAATATTATTCGAACAGATAGTACCGTAACATTTTGTGGTTTATTTTATCTCAAACACTAAAAACTTACCTTGACTACAATTAGAGCCATAATAACCTTGTGGGCACTTACACGAGTAACCAAGAAATAGATCTATACAAGTAGCGTTACCAGAACATGGACTGGAGATACATTCGTTAATTTCTATTACGAGAATCGGAGGTATTTATTCGATTAGTAATTAAATAGTAATGTACAATCTTGTAAACATATTTTAATTATACAATTATACAAGTGATATCGGTAGATCAGGGTAGTACTTTAGCTTGATAAATATTCGTAGTATTTATTTTACCGTTTAGATCTTGCACTAACGAAACTGCGTTATATTGAAGTTTTATAACAATTTTATAATATATTTTAATGCAGTACGCGTACGTAGATATAATGTGTAACAGATTATTGTGTTAATTTACCGATTTCGCAGTTTTGACCAGTCCATCCTGCCTCACATGAACAGTTATAGTCTCCACCCATAGTCGTATTACTTACACAGGTACCGTGGACACAGGGAAATGAACCACAACTACCAACTATCGATAATCATAATTATAATTATAGATATATATATATCATGAACATACGAGAATATTATTAATTTTTAATAAACTTAAAATATGATTTCGGATTAATGTTATTCACTGTAAATGAATATTTTACGGCCATTCTAATATTTTTGGTATTAATAGGCCATAAGTTGTGTTAAAACTGCGGTATTAGATCGTTCCTGTGGATGATATTTAATACTTGAGCTTTGACTTATTCAAAATACGAGTAGAGTCTACGTTCGTTATACTTTGCGTACCGTAAGTACTTACATATTTTACTTTGAACATACTATTAGTATGATTTATAGCTCAAACGTGATTATACTAGTACTCGTAATTTCCACAATTCAAATAATATAATTAGTAAATAGTAGTATGTGGCAATGCTTACACATACGTACTGTACAACTAGGTAACTATAAACTAATTGACACATACAGTATTTTATCAACATTCTACAGTATATTGCTAGGCAGTTTACAATGAAACTGACTAATACGCGTATATCAGATTTTAAGCTGTATATTAGTTTTTCTAGTATTAAGTTCTCCAACAAGTAAATCTTTATATGTAAACGAATATCCAATCGATATTACATTATAGACACGAATAATTGTTCAATTTATTATTACCTGTACAAGTTATAGCGAGATTACTGTAGGTTGAGCATCCAGTATTATTCCATCCGGTATACGTACATTGAGCTAAACTAGTTTCTGTACCATTGCAATTTACATTACTTAGCCATACTGGCCCACTAGTGTAGCCATAAGTACCGCAGCAAGAATAGCCTGACGCATTTGTGTAACCTAATTGACGACAAGCGACTCTGGCTTCCTTCATGTTAAATCCGTAATAGCAAATAGAGCCCCATACATTATTGTGATAAACTTCTACTCTTCCCTTATTCGGAGTAGGACCATTTACTAGTCGAATTGGTAACTGACTATTGGAACCTACGTATGAAAACGTTAAATCAGAAAACAAGGTAATACTATACGAACATGCATAGCCAATGATGCGTATTTTAAAACAGCCTCGGACTGTATCACATACATAACAGCAATCGTGAAGAATATTATATTATATATCGTACAATAAGCTACGAGTATATATGCTATATATTATCTTACGTACTTTCATAACAGAATGGTCCTACGTAGCCTGGTGCACAGTTACATTCGTATCTTCCAATAAGGTTACTACAAGTAGCATTACTTGCGCAAGGCGAAGAACTACATTCGTCAATATCTATATTAATTAAATATTGAAATACTTATTTCATGATGCACGGTATTACAATATTAATATTCTATTAAAATAACATAACACTAAAGTGTATAATACACATAAAATATCTTTTATAATAATGTAATCAATACAACTGCTATAATTATCTATAATTAACATTATTGCAGATTTTTCAAGGAAAATCGTCAGAATAATAGTTTATATAAAGCATAGAATAATACGATGTTGAAGTAAGAAACTGACGATCTCGTATTGTAATTTCAGTATGAAGTAATCATACAGTTACGCATATGTGTTGTATTATATAGTAAAAATATTGTCTATACTCTATAATAGACGATATTAATCCACTATTCGTACATTAATATTATTATTCTGCTGTACGTCGTCTACCTGATTGACATTCATTCCCGGTGTATCCATTTATACAAGAGCAGTTATAACCGATTCCTGAAGAGCCTACCATGCAGGTACCACCATTTAAGCATGGATTTGAGTAACAATCGCTTCCTAATTTTAGATGTTTTGATATATTTGTTTATAAAATATAATATTGAAAGTTACTTATTACATATTATTTAATAAATTCGTGTGCTAGTAGTATTTATGTTATAGTACATTAATTTTAATAATAAAACAATTTAGTACAGTACATGTAGAACCATACTTACGGATATTACAGTTTGTTCCCACATAGCCCGGCGAACAAGAACAGTTATATGCACCGGGTTGATCGTAACATGTTCCGTTAACACAAGGATTAGATGCGCATTGATTAAAGTCTATTTCAAGTAAAATGGTAATTAGAGTCTATTAAACATGATACACAAACAATTCTTGTACATTGTGTAGTTATATAGAATATCTACATTATCATGTAAATTAAAAATACTGTTCGTTAGTGTCTTAGTAATACTAAAAACTCTATACTTGTATATAACAGGCGTTTAATATCTGACGGAACTTAGTAATATAGTAAATACCATAATAATGCTAATGGAATCTTTGAATTTGATAGAATTTCTGACAGTTAAACTACTGTGTATTTCTGTAGTACTGTCGTACTTTGTAGCTACAATACAAGTAACTATTGTAATTTTATCATTACTTAAACAATCTCTAGTATCTAACTACCAAATTTAACAATGACGTCTAATATCTACAGAACGTAGATAGTACAATATTCTACAAGAATGAACTCTTTACCTATATAAATATGTAATATAACTTACCAGTACATCTTACACCTGCCACATCGTATCTAGAACATCCATTACTGATACTTCCCCATCCAGAGCCGCGAGAGCAATCTGAAACTCTACTTTCATTTCCTCTACAATATAGATTGCTTAACCACATTAACGTGTAATACTTGTTATTTCCATAGTACGAGCAACAGTAAGAGTGCGAGGCGTTAGGATAACCTAACTGACGACATACAACTTGTGCATCGTTTATATCAAAGGAACGGTGACATATCGAGCCCCAGGTTCCGTTATGATAGATTTCGACATTGCCCTCATTCGGTCCAGCAGCGTTATACTGAGCCACTAATCTAACGCTACCATCAGCAATTGGTCCTATTACGTTGTATTAACGTTAAAAATTGTTATACAAAATCATATAAGAATGGGTGTTTTCGAACTCGTAATCACTTATAATTAAATTAAAATATCTAATAGTAGAATTAGAATTTACTGCTAGCGCTATTATATCCTAATAGCAACCTTCTTGACAGTTCGATCCATAGTATCCATCTGGACATAAACATACATAACTAGTATGTTGATCAATACATGTTGCATTGGCTGAACAAGGGTTAGAAGCGCATTCATTTACACCTAGACGATGTTATCAATTACAAAAATAATTACTATTACATAGAATACTTTTTACAACGCCCTCGCATTTCCTGGAAAACGGTATTATCTATTTTATAGTATAGTATTATATCTGTATTCTCAACGTTCGTTAAAGTAGCTGTTATAATAAATATTGTCAGCTATGATATTGCTTATACTCCGAAAATATTTTAATAACATACAGCTATACATCTACACAATAGATCAAAGCACACATGAATCACATTCTACTTACTCATTTGGCATTGCTGTCCGGTCCAACCATACGAACAACTGCAATTATATCCGCCAGTAGAGTTACTAGTACATGTCCCATGAACACATGGATATGATGCACAACTTCCAGCTGAAATTAATTTTAAATATTCAAATTTAGCCATAGACTAGTCTTTAGTAAATTTAGACAGAGAATACATCCCGATACAGCTCTCAAATGCGCGTAGTATTATTCAATACAGAACCGGCATATACTGTATCTTGGGATAGTAATATCTTCAGTAACAGAAACAACATTACATCGCGGTTTTCAATATAAGAACATTATATTACAGTATTTATCGTATATTATTTATTAGTAAATTCGTAAGTTGCCATTGTCCTGTATTTACTTAATGAATTAATTAACTGTATTGTAGAAACATCTCACATTCACTCAATGCTGATAAAATCGTAAAGTCGGCCGTGATTACGCAGGCGTAATCTATACAACAACGTAATACAAATACATCAAGAATTGGAATCTAAGTTCAAGAAATATTTGAAGCTGTAATTATAAATTGTAACTTATAATATCGATATCTCTTAAGAGTATGTAAGCATAGAAATATTTAGAGTTGGTTAATTAACCGACTTATAAAATCATCATATAGTAAACAGACGATCCTAAGAAGATTTCGTAACCGTCTCTATATGATGTTCGATATTGGCTCACTTCATTAAGACGTAATCGTTCACAATTATCTATTCGTATACAGTATAATGCACTGTCTATTTAATTACCGAAATAACGTAAAAAGCTTTCGATTTATTCCACCTTGCAACGTAACTTAGTATACAATCACTGTCATTGTCGATTAATTTTCCATTCAATTTGATGTAAACACAAAAAAATTTGTGTAGATCTACTAATTATTCAATTAGACGTGACTATTCATAAAAATGTTGTGTTCTTATTTGAACATTAATACTGTAACATAAAAAGGAGTTCCTAATAGGAAGTGAAGAAAATAGTAAAACTATTTTTTAATTTACTTTTGCGTAAAACTTACTTAAACAAGTAACTCCTGCGTAATTGTAATTATTGCAAGATCCAGTATCAGTCCAATTGGATCGAGAACACTGCAATAAAGAGGTTTCGTTTCCTGTACATCCCAGATATCTTAGCCATATCTGAATGCGTGCAGAACCATATTGTGAGCAACATTGGTATGTAGATACATTTGCAAATCCTAATTGCCTGCAGGCTACTTGAGCATCCTGCATACTCCAGCCATGATCGCAAATTGCACCCCAACGACCGTCATGATATATTTGTACATTGCCTCTCGTAGAATCGTAACCTTTTCCAACAAGTCTAAGCGCTCCCTCTGCTACGGGACCTATGAAATAATGATATGTAAATTATTGCAAAAAGAATAAATTACCTGATGAACAATATCACATTTACAAAGATAATCCTTAACACCTTAAACTAACGATTTGAATATAGAAGAGATAATTAAGCTGTCTCACCTTCAGCACAGTTTGATCCATAATACCCTTCTGGACATTTGCACGTGTAAGCTTGAAACTGATCAACACACGTAGCATTACTTGAACACGGATTAGAAGCACATTCGTTAGTCCCTGAAAGGAGTTAAAATTAATAATAATGAGATTATAATAGGTATAGCCTCGGACATATCTTATTTTAACCATGGCGAAAATAATACCGATTCTTAACTAAAATGACAGTATCGTTAAATCAATAACTATAAAATAAACTCTATCTGAAGATCTCCAAGTAATTATTCATAGTATCAATCTCACAATAATGTTATTAACGTATATAAAAGAAATATCATCGCCAATCATAAAGTTACCAGCTTCACACTGTTTGCCAGTCCACCCTGGCGAGCAACTACAATTATAACCAACTCCCAAAGTTGCGTTACTGATGCAAGTTCCATGAACGCAAGGGAAGGATCCGCATGCGCCAACTGTGAACAAAATTTATTTTTAATGCAGTTCTAAGAGCATGCCAACGGGTAAAAAAACAAGAAGTCAAATTCTTTTACTAAAATTTACATACCAGTACATTCAATGCCGGCTTCGTCGTAACGTTGACAACCAGTGTTATTCCATCCAGTGTATGAGCATGCAGATAGACTACTTTCAGAGCCAGTACAGTTAACATTACTTAGCCATATTGGGCCATTTCCATATCCAAAATATGAACAGCAATAATAGGATGATACATTAGTGTAACCTAGCTGTCTGCATACGACTCTAGCATCCTCAATTCCAAATTCTCGATGGCATACAGATCCCCACTGATTGTTATAAAATACTTCCAATCTTCCAGCATTTGGCTTATATCCATTTACTAGTCGTATAGGTATAGTGATGTTTGTACCTTTGTTTGAAGCAACATTGTAAGATATTGAGTATCAGCTTGCCGATAAAAATACTTTAAGTCTATGTCGCTACATATAATTAAAGAAATTAAAATACGATAATAACATACAGCATAAGATTCAGGCTAACCATATAATTATAGATCTAATCGTGCTACCAATATAATCAAGTAAAGAACAAATCTATCAAATGTCAAAACTGAATAACTTGATTCTAATGTGCTATCTATTACATACAATTTTGACTATTAAACTATATCAACATGATTTAGGAAATTAAGCTGCAGTTGCAGTTATGTAAAATGTATGTGCAAATGTATTTTTAATAGAAAAAAATAATTACAAAACGTAATAAAACGAAATAAAAACTATTCTAATCTCCCGAAAGTAATACTTGTCTATAATTCATCAGATAAGGTATAGTACTTAGCATATCTTAATACAATTAGCTACTCTCAAAACCTGAGGTTAGGAAACTATAACTTCGTAAATGATTATAATGTTTTTGATACATAACGTAAAACATGCATCTAGGGGCCTATTTAACTAACTTGACCTCACATATCAACTTATAAATCAATAATTTGATGCAAATTACCTTAAAATGAAAGCTTAATTATTTTTAAATAAATACGAATCGATAAATTTTCGAATTTAGTTGAAGTTTGAAATTTCTTATAAAATTTAAACTTGAATAGTGTTCTCTAGTCTGCACATCGTCTATTTTAATACTATAGATTACAAAAAAAGCATCATACTTACTCAGTCTACATGATGAATTAATGTAACTGTAGCCAGACGGACACTGGCAATCGTATCTACCAATTCTGTCGATACAAGTAGCGTGCTTCCACATGGTGATGAAT